ATATATATATATAGAGGATGGAGGTTACTCGCTCAGCTTTTAACGTATTTACCAACTTCTTTCGTTCTCTTTATTTCGGTTGCCTTCTTTCACGATGAAAGAATGATAATTCGAATCTTGATAGATTTCTAGATTTATTGCATAATTTCATAACCAAAAATTTATTGTTCAATTTTAATTTTATTACTATTCAAAACTGTATTCAATAATCGAGATATTTTTTCGCGTTTCAACTCGTTCGTTTTCTTTTCTTTTTTCTTTTTGTGCGCGACGATCTGGGAAAATCAATCGGTGGTTGATGATAGCAAGCGAAGAAAACTCATCACGTGTCGAGTACGCGCGAGACGCGTGGCGAACGCATATTTCATCCGCATTGACGTACGGCTCGCAGAGAAATCAAGTTTCGAAACTGCGGGACGAGGATGGAAGCATTTCGCGCGGTATTGAAACGTAGACGTTTCGATAGAAAATCGATTTCCTGTTGAGGCTCGTCCGGGATCAGTCGTGCCGTATTATTCGTTGCTCCTTTGTTGCAGCCGTGCATCGATCGCCGTACCTCAATCGAACAAGCTTTAGAAATTTCCGTGTAAAGTTAACTCGTGACCAACTTGAAATTCGCCACTCATTTACAACAACGAGGATTTCGTATTCAAGGAAACGTCGTTTTTGTTGTTTTTTTTTTTTTTTTTTTGTTCTTATACTCGAACGAACTGGTTGCTAGCCGCAAGTCAGTTTTCGCTTTAACTTAAACTTTGTGTTAAGTTTAAAATATAATTTATTTTATTGAAAAAAGAAGAATTAAAATTGATCATTGAAGAAATGAAAATAGAATAGAATAGAATCTTAATTAATTTCTAAATTAAACTTGACATAGTATCTTTAATATTCAGAGTATTATTATTTCGAATGAGAAAAAATGATTTTAAATAAAAAAATAAGATAGAAAAATATAGAATTTATTTATTTGAAGCTTTTTTTTTGAATAAATCAAGTTTCAAAAATTTTTTAATTAGATACGAATGAATTATAGTTAAGAGATAATTACAAATTGAATTTAAAAATTCATTGATTACATGATTCTTTGATCGTATACGTTCAATCTCGATTCCTAGAAACAAGCGATAAAAAATTTTATTTTACATTTTCTGCTTATTTTTACATGAGGAGTCTATTAATAATTCATTTGTATCCAATTAAGAATCAGCTAATTTCATTTATATTTAAAAAAATTTTCGAAATTAATTTGAAAATTTAAACGAACAAATTTCATTCTATATTTTCAACTTATTTTTTCAAAAATTACCTTCTGTACCACCATGGAATATTCTGAGATATATTAATTATTAATTACATATTAATCTCAGTCCTCTTTTGATCCAATTAGATTAAAGCTTGATTTAACGATAAAAATAATTAAATCATGAAAATTAGACACAAGTTTGAATTTGTTATGGATTATTTTCGATCGAAAATTTATACGTTTTGTGAATCACAATACATTGTTATTACATGTATAGTAATAGCGATAAAAGCTATATGACAATAGTAATCGGTTTGGAGATCATTTCATTCGATGAAGTAGAATTTTTCTGAAAAAGACTACATCACGGAGAAATATAGATTTTCGATAATGATTATGGACGTTTTGCGCGCGATGGATGCATCGACAATTACGATTGCGATGCATCGTTGATCTTGGATTTTTTCGACTATCCTATGAATGGAGCGCAACAGCATAATTCGGCAGAAATTTACGGTCGCGCGATCGTCTACGGTATTCTTCAGCCTCTAGTCTATGGCAAGGCGCACGTATCGAGCTATTTCGGTATGGATTCAACGAAAACAAGCGTAAAGCAAAAAAATGAAACGAGCAGCGCACAGGAATTAACGATGCGCGCGATGGATACCCTGGAATATTACCCTTCTCATACGTAAATAGTGAAGCAGCTTCGACTGTTCACAAGAACATAATACGTACCTTTTTAAAACTTATACACGTATACAAAAATAATGAGACGAATATATCGAATCGTCGATATTCTTCCTTAAAAGAATTATTTTAATTTAAATTTTTCAGAAAATCGATTTGCTCGATATATTAAGATACGTGTCTTTCTTAAAAGTTTCAGGATCTTCAAAGATTCAATTTTGAATACGAGTTTGACTTCGGATAAGTTCGGTAATAATCGGATAAAATCGATTAGAGAAACTCGAGATCAAGCAATTATAAAATCTTTAAACTTGAAACTGACAACTCAGGATCTAAAGCAATGTGATGAGATCTCACTAATTCCGATTGAAGTCTTGATTCCAAACTTATGGAACGATCTAGCACATTCTAGAGAATATTAAAATAAATTTGTCGGTATATGTTCTATCTCAACATATTTATATTAAAATCATCAAAAACAAAGAAATAGAATACATCGAAAATTTCATTAAACGAGAGTATAAATAAAATATAAATAAAACAAATGCTCTCGTTATGCAGTTTAGTATATATTAGAATCATTCATTTTCATGCTCCACAAAAATTATTAAAAAATAGACACATGGAGGGCAAATCCTTATTGATTGGGAACGAAATTTTTCGTAGAAATATTCGATTCGTTTGAAAGACGGAAGAGCAAGGAGAGGAACGCGAACACGAACGCGGATAATGGTAATGGCAAAAATGAATGCAAACAGGAGCACAAATAGGAATAGCTCGGAGAGAAGAGGGGGAGAGGGGGGATGTTAAAACGCGAGATCGGTTGACGTCGATAATTGAGGTGTCGATGCTTCTGACTGGTGGGAAGTGAACGCTGTAGGCAACAGTGGTGAGCTAGCCATTGGCAGCTTGCCAACTACTCCTCCTGCCGTCGATGCCTTCGGTGTTGACCGACAAACAAAAGGGACCTCGATGCATTGTCCTCGACGAGAGCGAATGCAGGTCGAGTATCCATCGAGCGCAACGATCGGCTCTCGTTCTCGACCGATATTGCATTCCGTAAAGGACGATCGGCATGCTTGCCGCTGTTCGTTCAATGCCCTCCTTCATAACGAATTTCGTTCGCCTCAATACACTCGTTCCCACGCGTCACGTTTCCACGCGTAATAAATCGAGGTAAAGAAAGAGAACCGTTTCGTCTCTTCGAATGGTTATAAGTAGATTGCTGGCCATTTTATTTATGCCGGCAACGCGTTTAAATATTAAGCTAATAGATGTGCAGCAATACGCGTATGTACAATATACGTTATACACGTGAGAGAGTGTTAATATATATATATATTCACAGGACATATTTGAGGGATCGATTCTAGGAAGAGGCTAGAGCAAACGTAAAAGTTGATACGCAAAAATATCGATTACCTATTTATCGAGTTATAAGTAATTGAAGTTTGCTCTAGACCAGTGTTTCTCAATATTTTTTTTTTTTCTATATCGTCTATATCGTACTCAAAGATATCTCAAAGATTTTTAGTAAGAAAGGTTTAAGGTTTGTGTATTTTTGTAGGAATCTAAAATTAGATCTTTACTTCCCTTGACAAAGGCGAAGCAAAATAAATCACGATATGCTTTTCTTGTACGTTTTAAAAGTCATATATTACGTTTAATGAGAGAAATATGTAAATTTTGAGAATTTTTAATTGCTCCCCTTTCTCTCTCCTCCTCCTTTCTCCTCCTTCTACGTCGAGAATCAATACGTTAGAATACGAAGCGAGTTTTATCTGAAAATTTGAAGTAAAATAAAAAAATCCATTAAAAAGATATTTCATCGTTGAATGAGGATGGAAATAAAAAATATCTATACTATATTTTTGCAAATTAAATTTTTTTAAAGAAATATTATTATTTCTCAATAAAAAGCAATGCATATTTTTTATTAAACAATATTAGATATTTTTGTCCAAATCGTAATGTTTCGTCGTTATTAAATAAAAAATTTTATTTCATAATATTTTATAATAAAAATATCTCTCGTAAGATATTTCATTCATATATCGCATAGATATCTATAGACATACTATATATAGTCTATAGTCACATAGAATGATTAAAAATGGAAGATGCCATTTGCAGATGTAAGTGTAAGTTTCGAGTTAAGCAAAAATAAACAGGGTCGGTGAAAAGAATCGAGAGCGGCTGAAAGACAATTGATTGACAGGAGCACGAAATTGCAATCGAGGGGATAATGCTCTGCGAATGGAACGCCCTCTTTGCTTCGTTAACCTTTTTACCTATCGTCAACTTTAGTCTCCATTCGATTTAACAATTAACGAATGAAAAAAAAAAATCAATTAACTCGAATCGCAAAACAAAATGAGTTTCTTTCCTGAATATCAAAGTTTCAGGAAGGACATAAGATATATTAATTGCAATTGCAAAAAAATACGAAATATAAAAGATCAATAAAATGATCCAAATTTCCACGCTAAAATAGTTACATAACTTGTTTTTGAATACCGAATACATATTTATTTTCTTATTGAAAATAAAAATAAAAAAAATAAACTATCACACGGTGCAAAATAATACGCGAGAATGCGGTTACCACGAGATAACAATTTCATATTGTTATTTATTAATTAAAAAAAAAATCTATCGTTTGCTTTTCAATGATTACACATTGCGGTTAAAATATAAAGAAAATTCTGTCTGACTAAATATTTTTATAGAATATATTATTAATTCATTTTTTTCTTTATTATTCTGGATAATATATATTTTATAAATTTTTAATGTTATGAAAGTATAAAATTCGTATAAAATATCTTATATTTATTATTTTTATTGAACAAAAGCGCACATAGATTTTCTATTATATTAATCGTTGATTGTCCAACAGATTTTTGAAAATGATTGTTGTTGAAATTAAAACAAATATTTTATAAAAATAGGGATAAAAAATGTGACCAATAAATCAACATATTAGAATTTTTAGCAAGCTATAAATTATTTTATTTGATTCAGATCTCTTTTCCTTTCGAAATTTCAAAGAATTTCGATCTCTTTTCAGATTTGAATAGCGTTTGAAGCGCAACTCTACGATTAATTCAACGATCAGCACGACGGCAACGACGACGGTGACGGCGACACCGACGACGGCGGTTATTCTCCTCCGTTCGGTGAGTAGATAGATCGTTTTGACAGTTTGATCGATTATACGAACACATATTTGTCCAATTTATAACTTTACCAAGTTTTCTAATCGAACAATACTAGAATGAACTCTGTTTCCTTCTTTTTTAAAGATAAGGAAAAAATCTTTCGAGAAAAATTAAATTGTTGTCGTAACATGTGAATTACATACGAATATTTAATTTCGTTCATTCGATCGTTTTCTATTTGTGATATATATATTCTCAAAAGACGTGTTGTGAATAGAGTCGTATTAAATTTTAAAGGACGTTGAAACACTACATGATCTTATCATTTCATCTAAATTTAATTATTTTCTCTTTCTCGACTTCTTTTATTGAGAAAGAAAAAGAAAAGGAGAAGATTATTTCTCTTTTAGCTATAGTTTTTATAGCACTCCTTAACGTGCTGAAAGAATGTTTCCATGCTAGCCCTTTCCACTATTCCTCTTTAACGAACTTCTCAACTGTTTTCACATTTTTCTACACCTTCTTCTGCAAAAAACTTCATTCGTTACAATTAGAAGAAACACGTTATACATCAATGTCGAACCATTACGATAGATTATTTCCTTCTCGACACGAGTCTCGCGTTTATAAGAAAACGGGGAATGGAAGAAAGCTCTTTGAATGTGTTGCACAACAAATATAGGTCAAGCATCGCGAGAATATCTTGATGAGCAGCGAATATTACTTCTGCGATAATAAATCTTTTTTTTCTTTGTCTCTCTCTCTCTCTCTCTCTCTCTCTCTCTCTCTCTCTCTCTCTCTCTCTCTCTCTCTCTCTCTCTCTCGTCTTCGACGCGACATCAAACGACGAACGCGTTTCCTCTTCTTTTTCATTTTTTTCTTGGTATCAGGGTCATCGTTCAGTTTGTTCGACAAGATAGAGGAATCCGTTGTGTAAGGTCTCTCCACGGTATCTCTCCTCTTTTTCCTTTCAAATCTCCTCGCAAAGCAAGATCGGGAGCAATATCTGGCTAAAAAAGAATTTCCACCAAAGTAATCACCTTGGAAAACCGGCTTCTTTCAAAGAAGCCAAAGAACCGACTTTGCCATGCCGTGCCAGGATAGAAAAGAAAAGCTGATAGAGGAAGGAGGGAGGGGAGGGGGAGATACGAGGGGATGGATGGATGTGGTCGTAAGAGCACTAGAATTATCACGGTACGCCAGCCCCTCTCTGTTTCGACCCCCCCTTTTGTACGACTCTACACTCTCTACTGACACTGTTAAGCATTAAGCCACCCGATCATTTTTGTTGCTCTCGCGGCCGCCATTGTCGCCGCTTTTTACGATTGGAGAGAGGCATCGGAGCATTGCTCACGGATAGACACGGCGCGTAATTTTCTGCGCAACTTTTCGAACAATGCTCACATCCCTCGAGCGAGTTTTCTCCCCCTTTCTCGGCTATTCTCCCATCAAACGACACCGCTTAAGCGCAATAAGTACTTAACTCGTCACTTGAGACTTTGCACTCGTGTAACCCCGTCTTGCGATCCTTTTATCGAGATCGTACGTCTTCTGACGTTCTTTCGTTCTCACAGTCGTTTTTTCGGATTCCTTTTCGGATTCTTGTTGAATTCTTATTTTATCGAAAGAGATTGTGATACGTAATTCTTTTTGTATTAAAGTTCATAAGTATATATTGTTTTAATGATTTTGATAATTTTTAATAATTTCCACTAGATGTTTGTTTCTTTGATTTGTTTGAAGAATACGTTTTGTTTTTATCTTATAAAAAATGATCTTTTTTATAGCTACAGTTATATCAGTCTTGACATTGTAGTTACTAATTAATTTAATTAGTACTCTAGAGATTATATTTATTTTTATTGATTATTTAAGAATTTTAAAAATTATGCAATTTAGTATTATTACTATTATATTATTGTTTTATAATAATAATAATAATCATCATCATTTGTCATTCATTAAAAGTATTAAATACTTGTTAATATGAATATACGTACATTGAAAGTATATATTCTTGTATTATATTTTTCTCAACTTATTTCTTGTAATTTTTTCAAAGAAAAAGTACTAAAGAATTTAAAGTTGAACATTACAGTTTTTTAATTTTATTTTAAAATTTCATATAACATTATAATTTATAAATTATGTCATACTCAATTAGAAAAATTTTAAACATTAATTTCTATTATGAGAAAATTTTATTTGAAAGGAAATTCATCAATTTGTTGTTAATTTTCTCCGTATTATTTAGAAAATTTTAAGAAATTCTAAATATAAGATCGATGCGTGCAATTATAACATATTTTATTATTATAAATGCATATTATATAAAGGCTGATCAATTTTATTTATATTGTTACGAATATATTGTATATCTATTTTTCGTGAAATTTGACTTTTGCGTGCAACAATTAATTTTCGACTATTTTATAAAAATCATATTTAAATATATCTTTCTTCATTATATATTCCTGAATCCATTATTATAGCATTATCGAATCTTTGAAATTTTTCTCAAGAAATTGGTAAGAATGGAAATGCTCAAATTATAATTTTTCATTTAATTAATAATAGTTAATAATAGTTCAAAAATTAACTCGTATATACGTCAATCAAAATCATTAATATCGAATTAGAAATGTTCACGTGATTTCTCTGGTGTTACCTTCTCATTAGATTCGCAGAGGATCAATTTGCTAATTCGTCTCCACCCCTTCTCTGTTTCAGGCGGCGCTGTCACCTCTAAAGATGTCAGAGCTCCGAATCGATTGTTCCGAACTAACTCATTCGAAACATTAAGACACCTATACCAGAAACAGCAGAATACTCGGTAAATATTTAAATAGAATTGTTCAAAGAACTTTCTCACGTATCGAATCACGCGTTCCATTTATCGCATGAATTTTAATCCCACAATCTTTCTAATTTTTCGTATTTTATATAAATCATACCTACAAACATGCAACATCGTTTAAAACGATCTTTTCCGTGACGCAAAGAAACAGCCTTAGAATTATTTAAGATAATTTTTTTACTAATATAATTTCCAATTCTAAATAAAATTATAAATATATATATATATATCCATGATTAACGATATTCGATCGTCGAGAAAAAAATTATTTTCATTTCTTTTCACGAGAAACGTTCGGCGTCGTCGAAACTTCGAACGAAAACTTTTCCTCTTTCAGGACAAGATGTCAATGACGGGAAGCTTAATGGGTTACGAGAACAATAACGAGATAAATCAAGCAAAGTGTAAGAAGCCGTTAAAACCGCTTCCGATAGTGTCTAGCATAAATTCCAGTGGTATTACAACCACCAACAAAACGAAAAAACCCCGAAGATCGGCCAGACGTAGCTCTTGTATACGAGGTCACGTGAATAGTTTGTGGTCCGTCTGGTACGGTGTTTTGGCGGTCGCTTTTCAAGCTTACATCGGGTTAAGATACGCGAAAAGGTTCGCCGGTAAGTGAGAGCCCGTTCCTTTTTTATTTTTTTATTTTCCTATTGAGGAATAAAAAAAGGGGAGAACGCGTATATAAAGAGTATGGAAAGAGAGAGAGAGAGAGAGAGAGAGAAAAAGGGGGAATTTTTCCAGCTTATTTATCGTTACCTTGGCCTGCGGACGCTCCACCGCCAAAGGTGGAGTTGTACGCGTGCTTGGTGCTGGCCGGTGCTGGAGTCGTTTTGCTGCCCGTTCTTCTCGGCGCGGCATTTTTAAAGCTCGGCAACCTGGCGAACGATGGGGTGAAACTTGGTCGCCATTTGAGCGCGTGTTCGCGCGATCCACCTTCGTCTCTGCTCACCAACAACCCCGACCACAGTAAGTAACAATGCCTGTTCTTTATTTTTCTTTTTTTTTTTTTTTTTTTTAAGGCTTTCATTTCCTTTCGCGTTGAAAAATGTCACGGCGCGGGGAGGGAAGGGAGAAGGGGAGGGGGACTGTTTACTCGAGGACAATCATAACGTACACGACACGATTCGTGGTGAATTCGCAGGTTTGGCGAACAATTTATGGCGACACGGGGGTCCCACAGCCGCTTTCGTACACCTTTGTACAGCCATGTGCTTCCTCCTACCCTCGCTTCTCATGGAGGCTAGGCTGATACACGCTGGATTTTTGCCAAAAGGTAATATGATCAACATCCATTTCGTTCGACATTTTATTTTATTTGATAATTTACGGAGAGATACAAGTATCTATATAGTTTTTTTTCAGCAATAAGTTCATTTTTCAAATTTTCTTATGAAAAGTTATTCGAAATTTAATAGTAAATAACAATGCTAATAATTTGTACAAACTTCTTTTTAAATTTGTATATATTTTTTTTTTTCAAAATTTTAATTCGATCTGTTCGCAATTCATTTTTAAAACGAAAATCGATAATATATTGTGATAAATTGTGAGATTTATGAGTTGAGTGCGAAGCTGAGTGGATGGTATTCTGGTATCATCGCGTATGGCAATTCGAAGCAATTTCCTTTCCTAAAATCATCCGCCGGGCGTATCATTATTCCAACTCGTTAAGAAAATTTCGATCGAATCGATGATGGTAATCGATTTCGGATTCAGATCGGTATCGTTATGGGGTAAAATGACTCGCGCGCATGGAGAAAAGGGGCGGTTGGAATGTAACGGGGCAACCTCGTCCTGACTACGTTCTGGTTCGTGTATTGATCGGCCAGGTGTGTGTATACAGCTAGCTACAGGATTTCTCCTTCTACCTTGGACAACTTAACCGTTTACCATCTCGTTCCCTCTAACGAGTAACCCTATTCCTCAATACGGTTGCCTCTCAGATTCCGAGACTCGATGGCTTTTCGCTTTCATTTTTACTTCCTTTTACCCGCTTCCCCTTTTCAATCCCCCTCCCTCTCCCCTCTTTTTTCTTTTTTAATATCCTTATCGAGAAACAACTACTTCACGGAATGATTTCATTGTATTAATGGAAAATATCCGATTAAACGAGTTTATTATTTTAAACGAATAAAGTTTATATGCGAGTAGTAATTAATTTGATTCTATCGTCACAATTATTGTTATACTTGCACATCTCTCCAAATATCTCTTCTCCCTCTTTCTCCTTCCTTTATAGATGTATAATAACTTTACGGAGTGATTTCATTGTAATAAACTAAAATATCCGATTAAACGATTGGATTTTATTATTTTAAACGAATAAAATTTATAAAAATAGCGAGTAGAAATTAATTGATTCTGTCGTCACAATTATTATTATATGTGTAGAACATCTCTCCAAACATCTCTTCTTCCTTCTTTTTCCCTTTCCCTGTATAATAATTTTACATTTTTACCAAAGTCGTTCGTGCATTCGATCAACAACGCTCGTCAACTTGTGAACAGATCCCGCGTAAACTGCGTGCTCGTCCATCGAATCGATTCAGATGATCAAACACGATTAATCGTATTTACTCAAAACTTTCGTATGTTTTATATTTTCCAGAAACGATATGGCGTACGGATCTGGATTGGCTGGTGACTCATCGCGATCGGTTGGTCGTGTCGAGTTTCATGAATCCGACCGTAAATCTTAGCATCTTAACCGGTTTCATAACGCCCCAACCTTTCGTCACTTTAATACCCGACGACGAATCGACCGATAATACAGGGAACGATATTACCACTGTGAAATCAGAATTGATCGATCTTATCAATAAATCGATCGCGGTCGAATCTCGACACCAGGAGACTACAAGGTATAACGGGTTATTTCGAGCGGCGAGTAACGGTCTAGCAACATCTGATACTCGAGTTCCGAGTACCACTTCCGCCCTACCTGCCAAAGGAGCTACAACTACTCCCTCGACGCAAGAAATCATTATCGATGCACCGAAAACACCGTCCACGATTTTGAACTCGACGATACCCGCCAATGGCAGTGCATCGTCGATTACAACGACGACGACGAGGACGACGAGTACGGTCGCGGCAACGACAACAACGATGACGACAACGTTGACAACCAGGAACGACGCGAAAGCATCGACGAGAACGGCGGAGATGGGAAAAGTAACTACAGCTGCTGCCGCGACTACCGCCGTGGCAGCATCGACGCTCGCGTCCATTTTTCCCTCGACGATCAACCCGATGAAGTATGGAAATACTGTTAGGCGACCAGTCACTACCAAGACGATCGTTAAAAGTAACAGTTTAAAGAGCAAATCGAAAACGAAGAACGTAGGAAGAAATTCGACGACAGTCAGACCGAAGACTGTCTCTGTTGGAAATATGACCGCGCAGAGTATGTCGTTAACGATGAACAGCTTGGCTGATTTGGATCATCCGGAAAAGTTGAATCTTGAATTACAATCAGGTATGATAATCTTTTCTTCACTTCTCTCTAATTCGATTCGTTACGTGTCATAACGATTATTCTTCTATAGCCGAATCGTACGGACCTATCACTCTCGAGTATTTGAATTACGCAGTCGCTCTTGGCGTATATTCCGTGAGGTATCCGGCGGTTTTTTGGTCGTGCAATAAACCGTTGGCCACAATTTTTAGCTTCCAGTTAATAGTCAATTCCGCCCAGAGCTTATTGGCCTACGTTGGAATGTCCGTTCTTTACAAGGCGAGTAACCTAACCTGCTATATGTACATTTCGTATCTTATTTTCTGTCATTTCATCCGTTAAATTAAGATATCTGTTTTAATCTGTTTTCAGGTCCAAGTAATGGGGCCTTTGAAGGTGCTACCAGTTCTTCGCCAACAGTATCGTACGATATCGACCACAAGCAGTATATCGACCATTTTCGGGGACTCGTACTTTTTGCTGAATCCACACGTTACGCTCGTTCTGTTCGCTCTCTCCTCCCTCTTGGTGCTTTGCTCAAGCATGGTGATGTATTTCTACGCTTACGGCAGGTAAGTTCCCTTCTTTCGTTTTCTTTCCGTTCCGTTCACTTGCGTTCTTTATCGTCCGCAAAATGAAACAAAGCGTGTAACCATTCCATCCGTTTCATTATATAACACAGATTCACAGCGTTTCTAAATCACGAACGTGAGCGTCGAATCATCTTGTCAAAGGAGAATCGAAACGGAAACGGTTGGATATACTTTATCCATTGCACCGCTTTATGCGTGTTCCTTGCAATCGCGATATGCAGCGCGCCGTTGCTCTACGACTACAGTGTCGTATACCGTGGCAGCCTGGACGGTGCAATTTTAGCATGTCTTGTTGCCACTGTCTTGCATCTCTTCCTGTGGCTGGTTTTATGGATATTTCTCACGATAAAGCAACGCTGGACGTTCAAATTGCGAGTGACTATCGGCCGTGCAACCGTTAGATCGGCAAGATCGGTGAAGCTCGTGACCGACGTGGATCTGTTATCGGCCAGGGACGATGAAGACGGAACCAATGCGCCATTGCTGGTTGTCGGTAACGGCAGAACGTACACTATTGCCGACGCTTCACCGAAAAAGGCTATCATGAGCGTGATACAAAAGGCAGCTATCGAGAGGAAAGCGCGAGCTCAAGGTAAAATATAAAATATAAAATATACCTCAAATGAACGAGATTTAAGATTTATTGTTTAAAACTAATGCGATTTTTTAACCATCTCGTGGCTACGTAACAAACATTGCCAATCAAAATTTATCCATCTCAATATTTTCTACGACATAATCTATATAAATATAGCTTCATCTAAAAGATTCAAAGTGACTCGAAACAGATAAATTTTCTACAATGTTTTCTACGATATAACCTATATAAATATAGCTTCATGTAAAATTTTATTTGAAACAAAGTGATTCGAAACAGATAAATTTTGTATGATATGTTTTTTNAAACAGATAAATTTTCTACAATATTTTCTACGATATAACCTATATAAATATAGCTTCATGTAAAATTTTATTTGAAACAAAGTGATTCGAAACAGATAAATTTTGTATGATATGTTTTTTTACGATATAATCTATATAAATATAGCTTCATGTAAAAGAAATTTAAAGTGACTCGAAACAAATAAATTTTCTACAATATGTTTTCTAGGATATAACTTATCATCTAAAAGATTCAAAGTGATTCGAAACAGATAAATTTTCTACAATATGTTTTTTACGATATAACCTATATAAATATAGCTTCATGTAAAATTTTATTTGAAACAAAGTGATTCGAAACAGATAAATTTTGTATGATATGTTTTTTACGATATAATCTATATAAATATAGCTTCATGTAAAAGAAATTTAAAGTGATTCGAAACAGATAAATTTTCTACAATATGTTTTCTACGACATAACCTATCATCTAAAAGATTCAAAGTGATTCGAAACAGATAAATTTTGTACAATGTGTTTTTTATAATATAACTTATATAAATAACTTCATGTAAAAGATTTGAAACAAAGTGATTCGAAACAGATAAATTTTGTATGATATGTTTTTTACGATATAATCTATATAAATATATAGCTTCATGTAAAAGAAATTTAAAGTGACTCGAAACAGATAAATTTTCTACAATATGTTTTCTATGACATAACCTATCATTTAAAAGATTCAAAGTGATTCGAAACAAATAAATTTTGTACAATGTGTTTTTTATGATATAACCTATATAAATATAGTTTCATCTAAAAGATTCAAAGTGACTCGAAACAGATAAATTTTCTACAATAATCTTTTTCTTACAACTGAAAAATATTTATAACCTATATATGTGTTCTTTTTCTATTTTCTTTTAACTGATATAGGAAACACTGATTCCGTTAACGGCGATTCAGTGGCCGACGATGAACAAATTTATTGGTTGAGACCGAAATTGCGCCCGTCGCCGACTAGATCGCCGAACGAGAACGGTGCACCAGCTACGGAGAAAGGATGGCTGAACAAGAAATTGAAACCCAAGGTCACCTTTAACGACCTGCCTAGTACGTCAGGCTCGCGGTAACTACCCTCCTCCCTCCTCTTGATGTCTTTCTGTATGTATCGTTGTGCCCGTGCTCATTGCTCGTCTTTCACTTTCGTTTCTCTCTCCTTCCTTCATACTTGCTAATCCAAAATTATTATACGTAGAATTGGCCCGAATCTGTCGTCCCAATTCGGATCTAACAGCCAAATCGGAAAATTTATATAACCTTCTCCTTTGATCGCCGTGCGTTTTCCCCGCGAAATTTCTTGCTTTTGCTATTATGTATTTTTACGATATTTGTTACTTTTATAATATTCAAGCGAATATAATGTTCTCTATCGATCCTCTTTCTCACCTTGAATCTTTTTTTTTTTCTCTCTTTTTTTTTTTCACTCGATCGTACCATGTTTGTATCTCGTGCTTAAAGTACATACATATATATATATATCCGCGTGTTGGCTAATTTTATCAAATTGTGTGCTTTAACGAATAAATTCTATATTGGTTAACTCTTTGAGATTTACAAGGTATTTAATACGTAGAAACTTGGAGGAAAAGTGATGCGAATCATTTTGATTCGGAATAATCGTGGAATATATCACATTTCCATCGAGCTTCACTAGATAAGAACATTGTTTCGAACGAAGACATCTTTGTTAGCTGTTCGTCAATTGATATTTTTGTGAAGAAGCGATGAATAAAATCTATGGATTGAAATTCATGTCACGATTATTATACATAAAATCGCGAAGAGTTAACGTCACGCATTGCTAGCACGTGTAATTACCAACTCTGCCCTTATTCTTGCCACTCTCGCTTTTACAACGTGATTGGATAAGATATCGTATTATATATATATATAAATATATATATATATATATATTTATTGATAATAAAATATTCTTACATTCAATGAATCATTCATGAATTTGACATTAATGTGTCATTTTCTTTTTTACACATGTATGATCCCCTCCCATTTTCCTTTTTACCGTTATCGTCTCTTTCTCTCTTTCTCTCGTTCTCTCCTTCTTTCCTTCTTTCCCATTTCCCTTTCGATCCTTTTTTAATAATCGCCAATTAATCCGCGCGAGAATACTCATTGTAACGTGTCACGACTTGTCGCGTTCGAATTGCAGTAATAAAGGAAAAATCAGACGAGGCAATGGTGACGGAGGCCCTGAAGATGACGGAGATTACGCCACGTTACGGGAATTACCGTTAATTACGTCGTTGGATCCGGCCGATGATTCAACATCCGAAGAGAACAAGGTATTTCCATGGTTATGTCATTTTATGCTCACTTATCAGAAATCATCGCTCTTTTTCTTCTTTAATTTTTATTCACGATAAATCATTCCGTTAATCGTAAAGTATTTTATTTTATTCTTCAGCTTTTATCGCGACTATCTCTCTCTCTTTCTCCAACGTTTAATTTAATTTTTTTTTCTTTTTTCTTTTGCTTTAACAGTGGGAAAGATGGCTGATATCTCGTAGGGACGGTATACCTAAATTTGGAAACGTAAGATGTACAAAAATGTGTTTTTCTTTCATTTTGTTCCTTTCCGTGTTTAACGCTTCGTACGTAATAACACTAACACTAGCTAACTGCGTGTGTGTTGTGTATATTAACGTGTGGTAGTGTATAGATTATATAGATATAAGGAAGATAGAGAGGACAAAATTATTATTAGATTGAATAGAAATTGAATAGAAATTAAATATTAAATTTTGTCAAGAGTCGAGTAATTCTTGAGACGATCGATCGATATGATGCACGTTCAATCTTGCGCTTGTCCTTCTCTGGATTTTGCTCTAACACTTCCAAGCAGTAACGCTATATATATGATATTGTACATTAACAATTACAAACAAACTCTCTAAAACTTGAAGCACATTCGCGAAACAACACGATGAAACAAAACTTGAGTAAATTATTATAATTACGACAGATACACGTACTTTAATGTATTCCTAATTAGTATGGCGTGCAGAGTTTCTGACATTGCCTGTAGAAACGTGTGAAAACAAATATGCTATTATGTCAGTTATTAAGAAAAAAAACAAGAAAACTTTTACTTATTTTATTGTTTATCTTATTATAGATAGAAAAAGAAAAATATTGGCTAATATAATTTTTTGTATGAATATATCATATGTAAAATGTTTAAATTATGAGATATTAAAAAATATAATATATGGATATATATAGTATGTCTACAGACAATATCTATAAGTCTGTAAATGTATTTAGAAAAGTAAAAGCTAGCATTGATGTTCACAGCTGATAAGCGTCGTTGCACGTGTCTTAAAATTAAAACTACTGTGTGAAATTGTGTTTCTTTTTTCTTTTTTATACAATCAGTTTTTTTTTTATTTCCCGTTTTCATACCATCTCACATGATTTTTCACGAAACTCTCGTAGGCTTATTCTCCAACATCGCGGTTTTAAAATTTAGCATATAGCCTGGCGATTAATTATTACAAACGTTCCAACAGCTGCTCGAGTGCGTGAACGATGACCAAGTGACGTACTACGCGAGTGCAAATCGCGATCTGCAACCTTCGGAAGGCGACCCTTCGCCTCTCTTGACTCCAGACCCTTTGCCCGATTCCTCCTCGGAGCCACTTCCACTGCCACCTCCGACTCCGTCTCCAACTCCGACTCCGACTTGTGCACCGACTACCGAAGTTGTCACGGCGTTACTAACCACTAACACCCAGGTACTAACAATCTTCTCCATGTTTCGTCGATCAAAGAACAAAGGATAAACTTTTCAAAGCGTAGAATCTTTATTTTATAAGCATAATTTATCAACAATTCGAATGGTTTGCTCATTCTTTGCACAACTGGCATAAATGATAAATCGATTCAAATTGTTAATAGTTTCCTCGATATTATAAATTATATTTTCAAAGAATGAGTAATAAAAAAATAAGAGGAAAATGAGATTCGTTTCAATCGCGTATTGATTTCAGACAAACGGAGGACACACGCCACGATGTTTACGCCGAGCCGATTCAGGAATGCCGCACGAGGAATTGACTCCTCGCTCGGATTCCTCCAATTCTCCACCATTAGACGCCGTGGTGGGGGGTAATAGCGGAGCCGGCTCGGTGGCGGGGCACAGTAACGCGAGCAGCCACAGCGAAACGTCCTCGAGCGGCGTGCACAGTAACGCTAGCAATGGAAGCAACAGCAGCTGTCAACGACGAGCGACCAGCGTGGACGACGTGACAAGTGGCAACTGCGCCACCAACGTTGCCGAGCAACGAGATAACGAGGAGTCGCGCGACCAGTGGCGCAGCTGTTCCCTCCAACGCGGGATTCAACCGCCGTCCGCTGCCATTGCATTTTCACCGCCAAATAGTCGCCCCGGAACCAGCCATTCCTTTTCCTCGCCGCAGTACGCGAATCACGTGCCGCTGTTCGCCAATGCGAGTTCAAACGCGAACGCTAATCCCAGCGTGAACAACACGGTTACGAGCGTGAGTGGCAGCACGAACGTTAACGTGAATGATATCGCCGCCACGGTTGGCCAAGGATGCCCGGCCGTTATCCTCGAGAATCCCAACGAGGCGACCGTGGTGATACGGCGGAAGCTGTCGAGGACTAAGCTGACGGAGCCCTTGAACCCGAACGAAGAGCCGTTTGGCCGGTCCACCAACATGAGGATGACGTCATTCACGGAGAGCAACGATATTCGTGTTCACGCCTCGTCCGCCACATTGCCGCATTACCCGACCCAACCTGTGGTGACATATCCGCATTGCTCCACCATGCCTCTGCCCCACGCCTCTCACAGTATGGCCGGGTCTCACATGGGCGGATCAAGCGGGAGCTGTGGATCGGTGCCGAGACACGCTTTCGTTCCACCGCAGGTACACTCGACGGTACCCGCGCACACAACTTTACCGTCCCATCACAACGGCGTCAGACTTCTCCCCGGCATAGCGCCCGCTCCCAACAATCCTTTCGTAAAGAGGTTCCCACCTGTGCAGCTGCACACGCAGCCCTGGGCGCTGCCCGGCCACCACACTTTCCCCCAGGCGTCCCAAGTTAACGGCAAGCTGACCACCACCGCGCAGATCAGGCAGAGCGATCGTGACTCGGCAAACTTTTCCATGGCCAGTAGCGGTGATTCCGACACGTGTTTGCCTCATTAGACCGTTCGATCGTCCACCCTCTTCGCTCTCGCTCCGCGCCGAGCAAACGTTTTCACGTTATACCGTTTCCGATCACGTTTCCTGGATCGTCGTCGTGCCCACGACGCTTCTCGAGATCTTTTTTAAAAAAAGGTTTTCTCGGGGATCGTTGTCTCTGATCGCGAACGTGGTGCGTAGAACTAAACAACATCCGTTTGCGTTTTGTTGTTCAAGCTCGCGTGTATCATTGTCATACCATCGTATTAGGGGTTATTACATATCATACTTTCGATTAATCCATGAGAACACGTCCGACACGTACGGTCAACGTTGTTTTATTTTCGATACAAAAAAACCACCACCGTCTGTCGCGACAACATTTTGTCTCGTTCTTCCATATCAAATGTTTCTTCGTATACCATTTGTAAATCACATCTTCTCGCGTATTGTCTACCCGCTTCTCGAGCCCCGATACAGTTGATTCGTTCGAATAATGAATATCCTGATCGCAATGAACATATCCTGTGAGACATGAATCGTTGTTTGCGCTATTCGTCAATTGTTATTGTAATACATGCAAGACAAGATAGATTGATAAACACGTTAGTTCTTTGAAAAAGTTAAAAAAAAAAATTTTCTTTTCAAAGATTTTTCTCCTACATTTTTATTATCTTTTATTACTTTTCGATCATTTTTTGTAAGAAATGTCTTTGAATATTTATTGAAATGATAACTGAAAAGATTTGTGAAGATAATTAACGCATGTGTTGTTTAAGATTCGGGAACGGAGTAAATAGCGAATTGAAAAAGAGAGGTAAAAATAATTTAATCGTAAAGCTATATTTATATCCTAAAAAATTTATTCAATGAATTATTGTATCCATTGGAGCAAAATTTTATTTATTTAACATTCACAAGAAAGTATGGAAAGTATTCGCGTTCGAAAATATAAGTCTCATCGTGTACAATGAGATGACCATACATATAGACTAATACCAGTCAATGGATGATTATATTAAAAAAAAAAAAGTTAAGAAACTTACGATTACTGCCATAATGATAATTATAATCGCAAAGATCTTTAGATCTTCGTCACGACATGAATTTATTTATCGACTGCCATGTTATTTCGTCCTGTTTCGCGAACAAAAAGCGCTCGAGAAGTGTTCGTTCTTTTCGTTCGCTCGTAATCGCTTAACGCATAGTGAAATATTAAAGTATTTAATATCGCTTGCGCTACGATAATTTTATTTTTTGCGATCACGTAATTTTAATCGAGGATTAGAAACGCGAAGAAACGCACTCCTATCTTGAATAATCGTATCTTGTATCAGCGTTGTATACCATGAGAGATAAATCGGAAATCACATTTCCATCCATATATATTAAATTTGATACACACGTCGATTAAAATGCATTTCGAATTATATGATTTCGCTAATTGACTGTATTGATATGCAACGATGATACGATACGAGATACAACAAATAAATACCGTGTTTAATAAATATAGGTCGAAATGTTTCCCAATTTCATAATCGAGTGGACAGAAATAAAAAGAAAAAAAAAAAATGCATAATGGATAGATAAATAATATAATCCGGATAGTTTGCCGAGTTCATCGAATTTAGAACAATAACGATGACGATTTTAGGATATTTATGATGGATTAAGTTAAAAAGAAATCTTTAGAAAGCTATTATTAATCCAAAAACTTACGCGAGATATCTACGATATTTCCATATCTTAAATGTTTAACCAAAAAATCTCAAGTACGGGTTATAGACTTTGATGAAAATAACATCTCTTTGGAACAGGATAAAAACACGGTCAAGATAATAATAACTTATATAACGTACGCATATATTATCCAATGCTTATACATATACACCTAATGCAATATTTGAACATAACCTCAAATTTATGAAACGTAATGAATCATACGTTGTAAGTGTACGTGCTATTTAGAAATTCTTGTTGACGCATTCGACGAAACAAACGGTATTTTTTGATTCATCGATCGAATTTATCAATCTTTACAAGCTATGACTAAATACATGAATAATATAACATGGATAGTATAATGGCAGAAAAGAAGTGTGGTAAGGGCGTGCCTTGCTCATCGAAAAAGCATACACTTTTGTTCATAAATTACGAGTCATAAGTATACTTGTTTTTTATAATATTTATTAAATTTTAATAATATTTAATTATCTTTTGATTGCTTTTGGCTCACATATAAACTTACACTTGTGTTATTGAATAAATCTTTATTATAAATAGGTATACATATAATTTTCATGTTTGTTTTATAAATTAAATATTTTACATTGAATATTCTTTTTTTATGGATATGAAATATTGAAGAAAATGATTCGTTCTTCAATCATGAACACTTAACAGTCAAAGAATTAAAAAATAAATACACAATAAAATCTTTAAATAAAAAATAATGCATAATATTTATAAATCATTATCTATTTTGTAATTAAGTAATTAAATTATTTATCGCTATTTTAAACTTTTAATTATCAATGTTTCGTGATTTATGGACAAGAGCGTATATGCATATATTGCGCATGCTTTTTTCTTTCTTCCTCGACTTATTTGTTAGGAAATCTTTCTTTTAATGTAGATATCGAATGTAGTGAAATTATTTACGTAGTAGCAAGAAATTCTGCTCAAGTAAATGCACTCTAGAAGAAAGATTGTTATTTTGAAATATCTTCCAATTTTCGACGATTTGAGATGAAACAGGTTAGAAAAGTGCGTAGAATCGGTATGTACAATGTCTGTATCTCCTCTGATATCGCCAAACAGCGTATATCGCGTTTTTCGCGAAAAGGTGAAATCAAGATGACGAAGCCACAATTTCCTACAAACGTCGAAAAGAATCGACATGTACAGATCTCTTTTATGTGTGTTCATCGAGTTGTATTTAACACGTGTTCGTTCTATCTTTTATGCACATATCCTGAATCTAGAATGGCCCTGAACAAATTGAGAGTGATGCATCAAATTTATAGCTAACCTATAAAAATTTGTAGTTCGCGAGAAAATTGAAAATATTACTGTCGTCTAGTATATCATATCATGGTATTGACATTTTAACTCTTTGAGTCCTAACTTGTATCAAATGATATCGTAAACTAAATGTACAGAATGTACAGAAAAATTAACTATTATTTTTATTTTATCGTGTTTCTATTTTATTTTTTTTTTTACAATTTTTATTATCACATTGTGTAATAAATTCGTTCATGTTGATATTTGATAAAATTTTCTTATCTATTTGTAAACGTCTATTTCATTTAGAATTTCTATTATATAATTATTTTATAATTGCAGAAGTAACAGCAAAAAGTATTATGTTTAATTGATATAAATTATTAATCACATTCAAAAAAAATTGTTTTTCATAATATAAAAATGTATGACCATATGCACATGTATATGGAACAATATATCAAAAATTACAGTTTCATTGAAATGTTTTATTTTATTTATTATATTTACAAAGCTTTGCCCTATAATTTTTAATTGTTTTATTTGTTCGCAAAATTCGCTCAATAAAAAATATCAAAAAAATAAACATATAACAAATAAAGTTATTTGTCTAAAAAATAATACATACGTAAATAATTAAAATAAATTTTATGTAAGATTATCGATATTTAATATTTCTATAAAGACATACGAACGGATGTATTACACAATTTAATACTTCTAATACAAGTCTTCTAAGATGATATAAAATAATACCAATATTAATGAATATCATGTTTATTAGAAATCTACGTAAACAAATTTTTTAAAATATATATGCTAATTCATTTTAATTTTAGACGTATTTATGTTTTTTTTACAAACATTGTTACAAACATAAAAAACACAATATGAACAATGCGATTAAAAAGAGAATAATATATCTAGTTTATAATCCAGGACATAAAGGATTAAATTGTACATACCATCATGCACTCGTCATATTTTTTTCAATTCGTCAATATTAAAAAGAAAAAAAAAAAAAAAACAAAAAAACTAATTGTTATCCTTTACACACGAAACAACCAAACGATTTCTAACTTTTTAACTCGTGTCGAATCTAAATAAAATGAAAGCACAAGAAAACGAAAAATGATGCAAAAAAAGTGCAAACGTTTCATCATATCGCGGACATAAATGTAATAATGGCTCGGACGAATAATCGAATAGTTTTTCTATTAACAGTGTAAAATCAACGGAAGGGAATACCACCTACTTATATTTTCTTACTGTTTTCACGAACGATTTCGCAACCTCCGTACGTAGGGAGTAGGGACGAGAATATAAACGTGTTAGTCGCTGAGTAGAAGCTAGTAGAAGTCAGCCAGATCACCGTCGAAGAGGTCGTCAAAATTCATTACGCGTGCATTGCGCGCTCGTTGCGATTTATCCGATCCTTTCGTAACGCAACTAATCAATAATCGTAGCGCGCATCCATTCGAAACCTCGAAATCCTTGGTTATCTGGACCGACGTTAGTCAGAAAAATTCCTATAATTTTTATACCTGGATAGAATCGAATAGATGAACCGTTTTCCGAGTAAATTGAAAGATTTCAATCTATTCTTCTAGGACAAAAAAATGTCGAAATGGATGCAGTTAAAGCTTTATGGTACTTACGAGAGAAGCAATACAATTGGTTTTTTAAATATATCATATATGTTGTACTATACGATTCGTTTCTTTGCTTAATAATTTCTTGCGTTTTAGAAAATTAAAGATATTCGATCGAAAAAAAGGAGAAAAAAAAAAGAAAAAAAAAGAGCAGAACGATATCGAATATATCGATTCCCAAGGGTCGATTTGCAAAACGATAAAGCTTTCACTGTGTACTTGTATATTTTTTCAAGCGAATTTCAATGCGCATAGGTTACACGCATTCTCTCTTGTATGCCAATATGATACGAACGATTTTTTATACGAAACTTGATTTCATCTTTATTCGATGCTAAAGAAAAAAAAAAAAAAAAANCGCGCCAACGTGATTTATAAAAAAAAAAAAAAAAAAAATCCTTACATGTGTAAGAAAAGAAGAAAAGACAACGACAGAGATTAAAACTTGAGTGAGTTTTAATCAATGAGATACAGGTAATCGATCGATTATGGGCTCCTAAAGGCCAGATAAATTTTTTAAATCTTTTCATAAGGAATAAAAGTTGGAATAAACGCTTTGTAATACCGATCGTACATATCACAATGAATGGACCATAGAAATGGGAACGACGAGAATGCTCAGTTAATATGAAATAGTTAACGTGCACGTGGAACACCATCGATCGAAAGTTAGAAAAAAGTTAGAACAATTTCAATTTGTGAAATTATAAATATTTTTTGTCGAAAATGACCCAGGCTCGAAAACGATCGAGTTCGAATTTCGTATCGTATCGTTTATTAACTTCAGATTTCATTCGATAACGATAATCTCGTGTTAATCTCGAAATCTCATTTCATTCTCTTGCTATTGAAAAATTTCATGTAATTATAAGATCATGAGATCTATTAGATCTATGAGATCATGAGAATTATTAGATGGCTGCAGATGAAATGGTTGAATAATTTCTAATATAATTCTCAAGTTTCGTCTCCAAAAACTGTATATGTAATTTTATAAGTCCATTTATATTTCGTTTTCATAAACAATTTCTCTTTAAAAAAAAAACTTCCTTTTTAATGAAATGATTGATGCTGTTTTAAAATTTATTAATACGATTTTATTAATCAAATTATTGAAATGAAACATTTAATCACTAAACTATGAATGATTTTGCACATTTATGAAATTCGCCATTTGATATGCAACAATACATCTTATCCATTGTTTCGTCATTTTCAATAATAATTATTAACAGCAGCAGGAATATCAAAAGCAAGAAGAACGAACCGCTATTTGAAAACTAGAATTTCGATGGGATATTTCGATGCTGCTATTTGTAGAAATATTTTCTTTTTATCGTTTAGCGTCAATCAGCGACGTTTTATCCGTTCGTTTTAGATCCAGTTAGACCTCTCGACGCGGAAACGTACACGATCAAAGGGATGCTCCGAAAAAAATCGATCGATCCGATCGTGAATTTCTACGATTTTGCGAATTTTTTCTTTCTTTCTTTATTTTTTTTTTTTTTTTTTTTTTGCAAATTTTACGCCATTTACATCTGAAGTTGAAAGTTGAAGTGAAAAAAGTTTCGGAGCATTTCAGAGTTTCACCGCGAGAATTCCGTCTCGAGCACGCATAAAGAGAAAAAAAGCGAAAGAGGATAAAAGCGAAATGGAAATAAAACTAAAACAGGGGAAGAAAAGGTTGCGCCTTTGCGCGTGTACGAATGTCCGTGCCTATATCTGTGCGCGCGCATTCAATTGGTCGCCCTCGACTACGTATTTCTTTGGCTTGTAAATAATTATATGGACCGAATAAAAATTAGCGGGTGAGACGAGAGAAAGGAGCGAGAATGAATGATGGAGGGGAAGATAATGCAAAAAAAGAAAAAAAAAGAAACTTTAACGGATATGTACGAATAATTGTATAAAGACTGATTAGACTTACTTTGGTATTTATTCTAATTCACAGTTAAACGCTATCGCTTTGCGCGCTCTTGAATACTCACGGAGCACGAAACCAAAGGTATTCAAATTCCTGGCTCAAATTCCATTTTTCTCTTCTTCTTTGACGTCTGTCCGCGACTCGATTGCGTTTCCTATCACTCTTTTCTTTCATTTCTTGCTCGACGCTGGAATATAATATTTCTTCGGATAATGGATGAAAATATTTTTTGATTTTGGAATTGTAAAATTGAAAGTATAAAAATATTTACACGATATGTAATAGTTACACGATATGTAAATTTTTTTTTGGTATTCCTTAAATTTTTTAAATATTTTGAAATATTTTGTTATCCTCGATTTCGAAAATAATTCCCAATTTTCAATCGCGCAATAATCCAAATAAGTTGATTTTTCTATCGCGTGAACGGCCTATGAAAATTTCTTTTCGTTGCATAATTATGAATATCTATAGAATCTATATGCAATATAAAAAAGAAAAAGAAGGATAAAAAGAATGAAAGACAAGAAAAATTTTCATACTTATTATTCGTATTTGTTTCCATAATTTTGTTTCAAATAGTTAATCTGCCATTTCTGTATCCAGGAAAGATTCATCGATTTTATCATTCATGGAAATGTGCGAACGGAGCAAAGAGAAAAAGAAAAATGGTATGCGCGATTATAACAGCGACACTATTATTGTCACATCGTATCAATATTATTCGATGCATCGTATAAGCAAGTAAACTAGATGTAAACTTTGTATATTCATTTACCAAGAAAATAAAGATAAATTATTCGACATATGTATAGATAAACTCATTCCTACAAGTTTCTTATATTCCTACATTCATGTGCAATATGATGCTTATATTTTAATATTTAATAGGAATTGCATAACAATTAATACTTTACTTACTTTATTTTGTAAAATAGACTATTCACTTTTCATTATCCTATAAATCAATTTTTAATCGATTCTTGTTTGCTATTGCTATGAGTGAAGATTAAAGAATCTTTTTTAATTGCATTTTTGATATTAATGGAATATTAATTTATTATTTTTTTTAATAATTTCGATCCTCTAAAATATATCCTAATAATGAAAAGAAATTATACATATGATTATTTTTTCGGAATATTCTAGTTATTTCTTGTGATAATGGTGACAGCGATGATATTGATATAAATTTTCAAAGGTAATAAGTTCAAAGGTAAAATGCTGCGATACAGGGATTTATAATACTAAATGTTATTGAAATAAATGATAATATTTGATTATCGTTTAATAAATCAACATCTTTAACATGCAAAGACAAGGTAAAGAGAAAAAAAAAATCTTATTTAAAAATAATAATATTTTATAAGTGTATATTACGAAAGAATCTTATGTTAATAAATTTTTTTATTTATATATATTTTCTATTTAATTTGCATGCAGTACGTAAGTAAAAAAAAAAAGATTTATACTAATCTTTTTTTTCCCCCTTCTTTCCATTTCATGAATGATATAATTTAAAAAATATTAAATTATATCAAATTTAAAATCGTCAAATTAGGAAAATCAAAAATATCAGGTTTCATGATATTCTGATCATAGATCATAAAATAATAGATCATTTCGTCCACTAATTCATTCGTTTATTCATTTATTTATTTTATATTCGTATTCGTATTTAGTTCCTTACGACATTGGTAAAACGGTTATTTACATAACGCCGTAATAAGCTATGACTAGATGCATTGACGGTTTAGGACTGTCTTGGAAATGTTACTAACAACACGAGAAAAAACGTTAACAGAGGGAGCTCCGATTTCGACCACGTTAAATTAAGAAGTAAAATGATCCTGTTCGAAAATGCTCGACCGTTTCGCATCGCATTATCCTTTCGTGTATTATTCGCGTTTCGCATCGTGTATCCTTTTTTCTCTTGGCGATTTATTCGTTGTTTAGGAGCGTTATTACATATTCTTTCTCATCGTCATTTTATCGATCGTCGATAACACGTTCTTTCTTACTTCACGCGTGTAACAGAGAATACGCGCGTATGTGTCGTTCGTTGATCGTTTTCTTAATTCGAAATTAAAGCTACAATCTTACAAATTATTAAGATTTCGTGCTACGTTTATTATGTTCTCGTCTGTACGTACAGTATAAAATACTAGGCGATTCTATGTGAGTCTTGTTAGGAGTGCTACCCGTTTAACCACGAATCATCGTCATTCGATGTAACGGTGAACCGACTCGCATTCGTTTAACACGTGTTTATTTGTCCGTTTTTTTTCCTTTTTTTTTTTTTTTTTTTTTTTATTATTTTTAACATAATGTGCTTATTTACTATACAGAGATGGAAAGAAGGCACTCGAAACGGCACTTACTATCTCGTATTATCTAGTCACGCTTCTATATCATATATCGTTGGAAGAACAATGACGCAATTAAAAAATTGCAGATTATCAATTAAATAGATACGACTAATCTCAGAAATATCTAATCCTTCCAATATTTTTTTTAATTTAATTATCTTATTGTAGGAACAATTGCCTTTTTTTTTTTTTTTCAAATAATTAGATATAATACTTTGTTCATAATATTACATCAACAATTTATCACACTAGTGATAAGACTTAGTTTAACTTGTGAATAATTTTAATTTATCCCCGACTTTATCGAATATTTTATTAATCATTTAATTACGTTCATTTAATTAATTATTTTTGATTAAATAAAATTAATCTTCTTCGTATATCCAGATCGACAATACGGATCTGATTCGACCTATTTTTATTAATTGCATTGGATTCGTTAGAAATGATCAATCGAATTCTGCCGAATGCCTTTTTTCCTTATCTGCACAATACTCAAGTACATAGGAAATTGTTGGAGCGCGGCGGAAACGCGACTGGAAACGCGTCAAACTTATATACATATACACCACTCTCCTACCTTCATCGTAGGAAACGAATATTTTTTTTTTTTTCTCAGAATCTGAATGATTGCCGAAACTGCGAATTGAACTTTTATTTTTCGGATGTTCCCTCTTGTCAATGGCAGGTACACGGACGTATTGACTCGACGAAGACCAGAAATATCACGCGCACAGGAAGAAGAAGAAGAAGAAGAAGAAGAAGAAGAAGAAGAAGAAGAAGAAGAAGAAGAAAATCAACTAGTCCTATTAATCAAGCAGAACGCATAATGATATATAATACGTATACTTGTGTATACGTGCCAAATATAATTTGTATATAATATATATATATGTATGTATATGTATATATTATCTGTATATGTATATTCTCATTTCCGTACGTATATATATATAATATATATATTATATATATATGTATGTATGCGTATGTATATTAAGTCGTACAATATAAAATCTACAGTCACAACAGTTAACAATTAATCATTGACGGGTCAATAAACAAGTAATCATCCTTATTAATTAAACTTTCGATATCTTCGAAACAGATTTTTCGTTGGTCCGTTGTTCGAAAATTGGTGGACAAGAGACAGGGGAAGAAGGACGGGATTAAATACATTCGATGAAAACGTACGTAAAATGTTTTTAAGCCGCATCGCATATTGACTTTAAATGTACACGACTACATCTATTAAGGACACCCAAGAATTGATCAAAGTTGCGCTAAAGTATCATCTCAATTGCCTAAAGACGTACATCTACGTAACGCTACTAATTAATCTCATTTTTATTGACTATAATTTGCACCAATTTTCGAACGCTGTCGCACGAATTACAAATAATCGAGGCTTACGAGATTTACGTACGAATATAGGGAAGAGAAATAATATTCTAGCGGAGCAGCAACGATTTCTTTTTCTCAAGAAAAAAAAAAAAAAAACGATCTCCGTCAACGAGAGAAGGCCGAACAACTTTTTGCTCCCTGCCCTACCAGTCTATTTGACGCGTTCTTTTTCTTTTTTTTTTTTTTTTTTTTTTTTTCTTTTTTTCCATAATACACACAGAATAATTTTCTCGCCGTTTCATCTGTTAATGATACTGAGCATGATTTGGCGGCTGTACTTCATTGTCATAGAAAGCTGCGACCTCATTGAAGCAACAATGAGAAACTTTACTCGCCTACATGTTTGAGAATGTTTCAACAAATATATCAAATTATAAGTAACATTTTATTAACGCACAAGCGATATAATTAGAGGAACATTTCGATTTTGTTTCGCGTTTCAAAGCTATATTTCCTAGTAACAAGGAACATATGTTGCTTCAATAAGAAATAGCATCCTGGCAATTTTTTCGTAAAACGTGGAATATTAATAAAATTTTTTTTTTTACGATTTTTTTAACAAAAATGCAGCTTAAGAGATTGATGCCAAGACAGTTATACAGTGTCTGGTATGTACGAAACAAAAACGAGAATTTATGATTTTTTTAATCGATGCAGCAAATGAATCAGCCTTATTTTCTAATAAATTTTTCGTATGTCACGAATCACAGGATCGTAATCCTAATTTAATAATCCTCCTCCTCTAAAACGATACGAACGTGATTTTGGAACGTCATCACCGTTACTTTTACACATCTTAGTTCGCTATACTTTACATCGCAACACCTTATATATATCAAGCAAGCTTCGATATATACTTCGATCATCGAACGGATTCCCAACGTGTAATTTGTATAAGTACGTTGGAACGCATTAAATTCTCGTTTTACTTTCCTATCGATCGATCGAACGATTGGTAAAATTGCAATCGATTTTCGTTAAAGTACACATACACGTACACATGCACGTACACACACACACACACACACACACACACACACACACACACACACACACACACACACATTCATACCCTATATGGAGGTGTAATTTGAATTGATACGATCGATCGATCGATCGAGCATGCTATGTTGTATGATATCGATAATGGTAAATATCAACGTATATTCGCCTGAAGCTCTAACGATATAACAAATAATGGTAGTGAACAAACACGTAGAACGTTCCGTAATTATATAAACCTAAGCTATCGCATGTATCCGTATATATATATACTTTTCTACATGTTACGTATTGTATATATACATGTATGTATCGCTACAGCTATATAGGTATGTATAATGCGCAATGATGCGTATTGTATGTGCACGCGTATTGCAATATAGGCAATATATATATACGTACTAATTATACACATAACCTATATCAATGGAACACGTGTGCATATAACATACGTGTAAAGTTTACGCTAGACGCCTGCGCGATCTTTGCGATCTATCGACTTACCGCGTACTTTCTCGAACGCAATTATATACTTTTTTATCTACTCGTACACACGTCTCTGTCACACATAAGCATGCACACTGTACGCGGTACGTGACATATATTGCACGTATGTATGAAAAAACGCTTACCAATGGAGACAGATAAATATATATGTAAATATTAATATTTAGTTAGTCGCGGATTACGGTAAGTTTAATTTTCGTTTGGATTTCACCGCTGGTCCGTTATCGACTTAACAACTACTGGTATAGTATTATACATTAGGGTAGAACGAAAAAATAAAAATTATGTTCTAATAGTGAAAAAAAAACTTGTCTCTCTAATGTTATTATTAATTATAATATTCTATATCTTAGTCTTATGTTAAATTTATTGACATTTCAGAATATCTAATATAAATGAGCAAATAATAGATTTCATCAGTCTACTTTGATAAATTCCTATTATCTAAAATTACTATAAACATGTAACAAAAAATGAATAAAAGTAATTTTTGAATAGCTTACAGCACTAAAGTTTTAAATTTAAAAGTTTCGTCGTTCAAATTCATATTTTAACACTATTTTAACAACTTAAACATATCATCATAGAAGACAATTTTAATTCACTATCGGAAATTATGATTAGCATCAAAAGACGTTACCCTATACTTCGTTCCACCCTACTATACATATATTAATCTATAAACCTTTATCATCGATCATCTTTGCAAAATGGCCATGCAACAGACAGATCGAAATATTTCGGAAACAGAAGAATGCCGATCGTTATCCTTTACACGCTGATCTCAATGATCGCGCAGAGTAACGTTGTAGATACTTTCATCGGATAAGGCTGCATTAATTATTGTCTCTTTTGTTATCTCGTCTCGTGCTCGTTGAAAGTGTACCCTTGTATCTCTTTCACCTTCTTCCGTCGATTCTAATTTCTCTGCAAAACCATCCTCCTGTTTTATTTTTATATCCCTATACTCACCTCGACATGATAAATCTTATATCTTATATCGTATGCTTACTTTTTCTTTCGTTAATCGGTTCTTTAATTAGCAGATATCGATATTATTTATATAACCTTTTTTTACGCAACGCATTTGCCTTATGCGTTTCGCCTTATGCTAAAGTGTTAACAGCATTCGAACATTCGTTCTCGACTCGTCGGAAGCATTCGTCATTTACGATTTAAATCGCTCAATAACTCTATAACATTATTTATATTTTCGTTGAAGGACGTTAAAAGGTGAAAGAAGAAAGATAATATAGCGAAAAGAAACGCGTAAGGAAAACGTAAATATATAATAATTAAATTCGTAAAAAGATGAGTAGCGAGGATTAGCGTGATTGGATATTCACCGAGAAAAAGAGATTATAAATTTCAACACGATAATTTGGATAAAAACGATAGGCTAGTTAGCATTAGCAACGTCCATCGATTTTTTTTCGAATTAGATACGTAAAAAGATATATAAAAGGTTAAAAACAAAAAATTGATACATGTCGATTGAGATTATTAAGTAAATTAATGTTTACGAAGTTAGATGAAGCAAGACGGAAATAGAGTGTTACAATGGTGTAATGAAGACAGAGAAATGTCACTCTTATCGTCTTGCTTCGTTTAATGTAATTTTCTTTTCAGTTAATAAATAAAACTCAATCAACATTTTTATATATCAATTTTTGTTTGTTTTGGCTTCTAGTGTTTCATGAATATATTAGCATTTTTATTAGAATTTTAATTTCGAAAATAAATTTAAAAAAAAAAATTTCAATAACATGTATAATTCATGATAGGAATTATCAAGTATCAATTCTATTCTATGATCGATAAAATATTTTTAAATAAAATTAGTAATCATAAAACTAGTAAAAATTAAACAATAAACAATATAACATGTAAACACTTGAAAAGAAAAGAAAAAAATTATAATAAATCCTTATTCAACGTTCTACATCGCTTTTGTTGGTTCGAACGAATACGAATTATTATCATTGGATTTAATCGTTTTATCTAATATACTAATTTTCTATAATTAATGCGTTAATTAGAAAAATCTGTCAAAAAACTGTTTCTAGGAATGTCAAGTTTTTCCGCGCGAATAGAGCTGATCCTTTTTCGTAATAATTGAAAAGAATTCGTTCATCAAATCAACATACGCACACACGTATCTATATGAAAATACGTGTGTGTACATCGCATGTATGTGCGTGATCAAAAAACAATGCGGATTAGAATAAGAGAACAATTACTTTTAAAACGATAATATAATTATTTGTATGCTAGTGTACACTGCTACATGTATTAATATGCAAAAAATTAACGAGGAAAGGAAATGAAAACACGAATGAACGAATTAATAATCGCACGGACGGACGAATGATTACGCGATGCGAGGAAATCGACTCGATGTCAAGTTGCGAAAAATATTTAAAATGCGTATAATGAATAATCATATATATATAAATGTATATATAATATATATAGATATAAAGGGAAGCAAAGAATCGCTTTCAATTGAAAAAGTAATTTCATCATAAAACTAGAATAGGGAAGAGTCGAATAATAAAACAGCTTTGAAAGGGGATAACGCGTCCCATAAAATCGAAATAAAAGATTTATGTAAGTAAGGAAAACGATTGTCTCGAGTCTTCAGTCTGCAATATTTTGCTCATCGACGATTCGAAGAGTTGATTCGATCAATCGAAACACTTCTATCTTTCTATTGTATGTATTCTAAATGGCCTAATATTTATTAACGTTATTAACGTTTTAATACTGTAAATGTATTGTCCGTTTAATTGTTTTCAAGCATACAAATTATGCTAACGTCATTTTACGAGTAAGCCTTCTATGATTTTTTGCGTTTGTTTTTTTTTTTTTCTATTTTTCCGTTTTATTCTCTTTTTTTAAAAGAAGGCTCGATTAACATTTTGCAAAACAACGAGTGGAAGAGAAATATTCAATGGAATACTGAGAAACTTGTTCGTTCGCGAAGATTGATTGAAAAGTGAAATTTATGTTATTACTGTAGAAATTGTGGAAGATATATCGCTCAAATTTGAATAAATCGATTTAAAGAAAGTAAAAAAACGAATCATATAAGTACTTACTTATACATGTTTATAAATAGATCCCGAGACAAACGTATTTAAAAAACGCTTCGATCTTGCTGCAAATTGTAATCTTGTAATTTTTTTTTTCCCATTCCTTTCTTATTTCTTGCAATTCTGATTTATAGATAGAAATTAAAGTAGGATAAGAAGCGAAAAAATAGAAACAAGATTGGAAACAGAAAGCAAAAGAAAAAAAAAGGAATAAAAAAGAGAAAAAGAAATATAATATAATATAAGAAGAAAGAAACAAGAGGAAAAGAAATGTAAGAATTATAAAAAAGTATTCGAAAAATCTTTCATTATGGTTTAACCGTATGGCATGTATATAATGTAATGAGATCGAATGCAATGAGAACATTTTCATCGAGCATGCTGTCGGTTGCTTGTTGCACACATATACACTCACGCACACACATTCACAAACACACGTACATGTATCCCCTCTTCTACTCTTTCTCATCCTCCTCTTCAATCTCATTTCTCATGCTTCATTTTCCTCGTCATCCTTCTATGCGTGTAATTGAATCACGTTTTTTTTCTTTTTTAAAACGTGCTATAGCATGACGGAGGATTCATTTCACCAAAGATATTTAATTCGTAGAGTGAGGCAAATGTGATAAACACCAAATACCAAATCATCAGTATCACTCCGTACCGTCGATCTAACTTCCAGCCATTCAAATGGGTCGCTACTACTAAGAATATCACTGTTGACAGTAAAGATACTGTCGAATATGTCAGACCTGGCAATAAAAGAACAAGAATTTTTAGATTCATTTATATCCGTCAATTTTAAATCCGACGAACGATCCGATGAATTAAATTTGTCGAAATTTAATTCAATTCTTATGATCTTACCTCGGCTGGTAACGTTCACGTGCGAGCCTGGCTGTATCATCGCAGTTTGTATAAACCAAGGAAGCCCGAGACAAACTAGAATATCGAAGACATTACTTCCAACCGCGTTGCTCACCGCCATGTCACCAAGCCCTTCTTTAATCACCGCTAACGATGAAAGAGCATCAGGCACGCTGACGCCAGCGGCGACAAACGTTAGACCCATCATCGTGTCGGGTATACCGAGAGTACTGCCTATGGAATATCGAATATAATATGGAATATCGGCGATAAAAAGAAAGAAACGAAATAAAGGAAGTTTTATTCTTTTAATATCCGTTGAAAAATTTATCTTACCTATAATCGTGATCATCCACACCATGATGTAACTATAGAAACTGATCCAAACCATCGATACGCAGAAGGTAAAGGGATACCAATTGCGAAATTTTTCTTGGCGGCAATCTGGCATCGTTGCGCGGCACATGAAATGAATCGGGTAAACAAGGCCCCAAGTGAAAAGTGTCCATTTGCTGCCATCTGTAGGCTTCTCCAAAGGCGATATTTCGTTTGGATCTGGTTCCTTCGCTTTGTAATACTCTGGTTGTTTCGGAGGTGCTGCTTCGTTCGTTTCAGGTGCGGTTGGTCCTCCTGTTGCCGCTGTAGACAAGATAATCATTGTATATCTTTTACAGTTTTTAATTTTCAAGATATTTGCAAAAAAGTTAGTTTAACTATATAAATTTTCAAAAGTATTTTGCTTTTAATAGAGTGTAAATAAAAAAATATTCTGAACTTGAATATCTTTTTTAAATTAATTCTATAAATGATAATAATTTCTTCTATATTATATGATATTTACATATTTTGAATATAAAAGGTATAAAAGTATGGGTAGCTTTTTTCTTTTGCATTCTCATAGATAAAAATCTAATCCAACCCAAATTCTATTTTAATTTATCCAAAAGTGTCTTTAAGTTAGGTTAGATTTTTTATAGATTGAAAGTGTATTCTTTATTATAACATATATGTATATATTTATACATAAATATTATAAATATTCATTCTTAATTTAAGAGGAAATTTTAAAAAAATATTCATCAATTAAATATATACAATGGTAAATATATTTTTGTAAATAATTCTCTTATACTCGTATAAGAGATATATATTTCATTTATTATTCGTATAGTTGTTCAAGAAAAAAAGTTGTTCAAAATGATGGTTTTGATAACACATTTCAAAATCATAAACTAACTTTATATATCTTTATTCTTTTTTTTCTGAAATAAATTATTTATAAAAAATTGATTTATAAAAGTAAATCAGACATTCAGATATTCATATCATGATCGATTACCTTCATGAGTTTTATATTGATCCGTAGGAGAACAAGGCCCTGTGTATGACAATCGATCCTCTTGCAACGATCTGTAACTAACGAGAGCGCTTTCTTCCGCGGGTTCGTCGTCTTTTGGTAGAAAAGGTATATTGTAAGATTTCGCCCATCGTTCCAATCTAGTGTTGAAAGATAACGCTATACAATACACACCATACATAATCAACATGAACAAAGATTCCATCCTGAAAGAGAAAATTTAATATATTACGACAAGGATATATCGTTGGAAAAAAATAAATTTTGATAAAAATTTTGAAATTTTTACCATGATATGGATTCGTTGTAAATTGTACCGAGCATTACCAATATCGATACCGCGTAAAAGAAACAATCCCGGCAAAGGGGCCACCAATTCAATTTTGACACTGTTGTTGTGCAAAGCCCGCAAATCGATATCACGAACATTATATTGAATACTGCGCTTCCAATCACACCGCTTATCTGTAATCCCAACAACAGTATTCGTTATAATTTCCTACCATGTTCCATATAATAATCTCGAAATTAAATTTGAAATTTAATCAGATGTTATTATTCCATATGATTTGATCAACGAGAACGAAAATACTTACTCCAATATCATCTTTGGCAAAGAAAACACCGATTACCACAGTTGCCAATTCCGGGGCTGAGGAACCCGCAGCCATGAAAGTTGCTCCAGCAACATCCGGAGACAATCGTAGTTCTACGTGTAACAAAATTTAACGTTTTTGTTAATCCTTTCTAATAACAAAGAATAACAAGTTTCATATTCTGAACGTATAAATTTCTCTCTTCGAAAGTGAAGTTTTTTTTTCCTTTACCTTCGCAAATTCGGTCCAAACTGGAGACAAAGTAATCGTCGCAAACGATGGCAAGGCCTAGAAAAGTGTAGATTGCGGCTAAGATATGAATGATTAATCCACCGTGTTTCCTAGCTTCCGGACCCATTAAAGGCCGTGGAAATTGTTCGATCGCTGGTGGTGAACAGTTTTCTCTTCTCGGTCTCCATGTTGCGCGTTCGTATTTTACAGTGGTCGTTGACGGAACCTAGAATCTCGAATAAGCAATATCTCTTATTTACGTCCAAAATGAAAATCAGACGAGTTCCAATAGGAAATCCATAATGTTTGATAATAAAAAAAATATCAGAGTCTCACCGTTGTGGTTCTAGGAACATTCTTAGATGAAATCGTTGTGACTTCTTTCTTAGGGGCTACCGCCTTTCCCGCTAATTCCTCCTTTGACTTTTCATGCTCTTCCTTCGATTTTTCTTCTTCCTTTACCTTTTCTTCGTTGCCTTTCTCCTGTTCTCGTTGCTTCTCGCCCGCTTCCTCCTCCTTGTTCTTCTCTTCATTTTTTTCATTTTCTATTTCCTTCGCTACGCTTTCCACCGATAACGACTCCTTATTCGTTGCCTCAATCTCAACCTGAGTGGTTGTAAACGACTCCAAGGTAGATTCCACGGTCCAGTTTTCCTCGCGATCCGTAGAACTGGGATAAGTGGAAGTTAGCTCTTCAGGTATTTTTGCACAAGTGATGTACTGAACTAACACATATACGATGAAGAGACCTATGCGCAAAGGCCGTCTTTTGCGCCGCGAATTACTTTGTAACTGAATTCGCCTCATTGTCTTCGACTGAAACATATTTGAAAAAAAAAAAAAATTTTAAATTTAATAAATGATATACGTATGTGTCGTCTTTTTTTTTATATATAAATATAAAAAAAAAGAGAAAGAGGAAAGAATTAAACCACTTATTTGCATTCATTAATAGGATTTAAATAAATAGATAGGATTAGGTTAGTAGGTAAGTAGATATTTTTAAAAGATTTGTATGATACTTTGAAAATTGATTTTTTTGTTGTAATTCTTTTAGGTGGAAACATTTATCAAAAATTAAAATTTTGAGAGATTTTGAGTACTTTTCTATTTCCCTAGATCTTGAATTTTATATTATGTATAAAATAATTGTTACAAAAAATACGTAATAATGTAAATTTTTTTAAATTTATTTACTCTAAAATATAACAAAAAAAAATTATCGCAATATTGTTTGCATCTTTGTAAAATAAAGTTTTAAATAAATTAAAATTTTCGTTGTAATATCTCATTTAGTTAATTGTAAATTAACTAAATTATTTATTTTATTTCTATTATTCGAACTATTATTTATAAGTTACTTAAATTATTATAAGTTGAAAATATTTGGAATTTTAAAATATATTTATCCGAATATAGAGATATAGGTCAGTTTCATTCGCAAAAGTATACTAGTTTGTGAGCAATGTTATGTAACATTTATTTAACGTTCAATATATTTCAAGTTTTTCGATTTTATAAATATTATTTTTTAATTAATTAATAAAAGCTATTAATTGGCTTTGAATCCAATAAAATATTGAAAAAAATTTAATTGTTTTCGTTCCAATATATATTACGTATCGATCGTAAGAAAGATACTTATTTAATGATTCGTAAAGTACACACACACATTTGTTACATATAACTACTATTAACTACATTACGAATAACAATATTTAACGATAAATAAAGATGTTTTAACAAACGAAGATATAGAATATTTAAGAATATTTAATATTTGAGTATTCAAATATTCTCTGAATAAACAAAAGAGATATAAATTTTTCATTCGAATATCTATTCTTATCAGAAAATAAAAAATTAACGAGAGAAAAAAATAATTTGATACGATAATTTTATAATCAATTTTATATCATAGAAAATAAAATATTTGTGTTAATTAAATGTTATAACACGATCAACAATATTTGTGTTAAAAACGAAAAAATATATACGATATATGAAACATATTTAAAATTGCATACGAAATATATAGATTTATTTATGGCTAATCCGATATGTTATTTTTTTCTGGTATATTCGTGTGTATTCTATATATTGAGATATTTTTATATATATTTACAATTTGTTCCTTATATTATAAAAATTTAATTTTATTTCTCTATTTTTGATAGAAAAAAGTTTAAAAGTTTAATATGTAATATATATATTTTTATAATAGATTATCATTTTAAGAAGCTAAAATCAACGTTCAAAGCTTCAATACTTTTTCATTTTCTTAAATAATTTGTAGTACGAAATAGAGATAAATAAAACTGATAAATTATAAAATTTTTAATTTTCAGTATTTATTATTGTTGTGTAATATATATAAATGAAATTGTATTCAAAATATAAAAAATTCTGAAATTTTTAGGAATTGATTTTTACTTCCTTAAAAAAAAATTTTCCATTGATAAAAAAATTACTTTATTATGTTTTATATATATATATATATATACATAAACTTTTAATAAAAATCAAGATTTTTGGATAAAATGAATTTTCTTATAATGTAAAATACGAATATTTCTATGATTGATTGTATATACTTTTTATACATATTTAAAAAAAATCTATTAATTTGTAAACAATGATATCTATTTCATATTAAAAGAAAGATTGTATTTTTTCGATCAGATGATTTTTATAGCTAAATATTTAAAATTATTATGTAAAATTATATCAGATTTCGCAATCTGATCACAGAATTAATATATTCCCATTCTTTAATCAGATCTTTTTATATTTATAACATGATACGTATATCTATATTAATTTAATTAAAAAATAATAAAAAAATAAAATAAATCTTTCTGTTATTATTTTCATTCAACTCTTTTATAAAAATCATTATAAAAAAAATCATTGAATTGGTTGAAAGAAAATTTTCCAACATGTTTTTTTTTATATTCGAATTATTATTTGATATTTATTTTTGTAGATAATTATCGAAATTTAAATATGGACGAATGAGAAATCAAATTTTCGATTCTTTTTTATTCTTTTCCATTTTTTTCGTGTAAAAAGATATTCGATTTGCGATTAACATAAAAATTATTAAAATATGATAATTATTTGTTAATCCATCAAGTAAATAAGTCTTCACGTGATCTAAATATTTGAAACTCTGTAAATGTATATAATACATTTAGTAGCAAATGAAATATAGATACAGAAACCATAAAATTACGTATCAAATTATTAAACTAGAGATTCGTGTTTATCACAACTATATAATTATAATTATAAAAACATTATACAATACAACTTCTTACTATATATAAAAATTAACCGCGATAAGAATTTCGATAAAAATATTTATGATGAAATATATGTTTCAAAATCGCAATGGAGTTTCCTATTTAAAACAGAACTATTTTCATCGACAATACCGAAATAATTTTAGTTATAATTAGCACATGAATATGAAGAACGTGAGGAAAATGAAATTGTTAGTGAAAGTGACCCAATTCGAGATTTCTACCGATCGTTAAATGGTAGAACACGACGTATGTATGTATGTATGTATGTATGTATGTATGGTAGGTCGCAGTCCGGCTTACCCCTTTCTCAGAAACGTTGCACATTATGCACCAGCAAATTCGACGTCGCCAATGTCTTTCTCAAATGTCTTAAAACATGCAATCGCAGCACCGATTATTGTCACGGAAAAGATGGTTTAATAATCAGCCATTTAATAATCGAAAACACCCTTTTGATTCTTTTTTTTACACTCAATAATCCTGTGAAGATTTCTATCGCGAAGGAAACTCGTTATCGAGTGCCAAGTGTTGCGTACCGTCAACGTCCTTGTTACCGTTGTTCGAAAACAGAGATATTAAATATTTCTATTAAAGTAAAGGCAAACTTTATCGCTGCGTCGTACTCGAATTATTGATTTGCATAAAAACTGTCAGTTACAATGCGTTCTCGACGTGTTTGCGCGGTACGTAGGCGTCGTCTTCTTGGAAACGTAGGTGTCGTGCTTACTGAACCACCCTCGACTTAATACAACGTCCAATATCGTTGTGTCCTTTCATCGATGATTCAGACATTCTTATGCCGTATAAAATATTCCGACAATATGAAAATCTTATGCTTTCGCATCCCTTATCTTTTATTTTATTTTCACGTATTTTTTGTCCCCCCCCCTCCTCTCTTTCTTTACTTTATCTGCTTTGATTTTTCTTCGTATTGAAACCCGTTGTATTCTTAATTTTTCTCGATTCGTTTCTTTTTTTTTTTCTTTTTTTTCAATTTTTGCACTGTTGTCAGTTTGTATGTGTACGTGTTTAAGAGGCCATTCCTAAACACTCATACAGACCTTTTCGTTTTAACGATTTTTACTCGCACATACCACCCACATCCACCGACCGATACACCATTTATCGTTTGCCGTTCGACTGTAACCGCCTGTTTCACTACGTTTATGCGCTGCTCACGAATGAATCCTTTCGCATCTCTTCTCGTACACCATTGCCACCACCCTCCTTTACTATAGCTCTCTCTCTCTCTTTTCCTCCCATATATCTATATATTTTACTTACATCAACATGTGAGCATGCGCGCACGTGAAACCACCCTATTACCAATCCACCTACACGCGCACGCGTACGTGCATACATCTACACGTAATCCTCTATCTTTTTTCTTTTATTCGCATCCCTTTGATACTATCTGTATCAGATGAATGCGCATGCGCGCCGCTATCAAAATGTCACTATCTAATATGTGCATCATAACAAAAATGAAAACTGCATAAATAAATTAATGATAATTAACAAGAAAGAAAGGAGAAAAAAGAAACGAGTAGATAGCTTCACATGAAATTAACTATATTTAATTATATTTAGACGAATAACAAATTGAATATAAATATCAAACATGTAGGATGAAAGATGTATAGGATATGATATTAATATCCTAATATCCTAAATATTGTATATATATTGAGATCAAAAAATAGGAAGCAAATATAACAGTCCATCCCTATCTTTATGCGATTTCTGCTGTTGTTCGTTCGTTGCATCTATATTTTTTAAGATCGTTCATTCGTTCGAGTTTCCTATATTTTCAATTGTATAAGATAAAAATAGGTTTTTATCTATAGTTTGTTGAATTTATATATATATATATAATAAGATCGTTATATACGTAGAGAAAAAAGAGAGGAAGAATTTTATAAATTATGTTACCGTCCAAAGATAAATGCTAAAAATATCAAGGATTCGCAATCTATTAGTTTTTTTATTATTCATAAATGTTATCATTTGATATTCTCTCTTGCAAATAAAATTTTCGTTATATTTATTAATTATTCGACGCTGATCGATCGAAACATTAATTGGAGTAGATACCAAGGAAACTATAAATCAACAATGTAACAAGCGACATGCAATTGTAAATAAAATTGATGTGTCAAAATATATGACAAGTAAATAATCTAATAAATAATTATTTTACGCCGTATATGATAAACGTAAGAACGTATACTTACTCCGTTTATAATTCGTAAATCTTGTTCCGTATTCGAGTAATCAGTCACAATATTGTAAGTTTTGAAACAAATTTTATCAAATGTTAATTGGTAGTGAAATAAGCTAACTTCGTATCGTCGTAAAATCGAACGAGATTTTACGATTTTACGTTTTTCTATATACAAATACAAATTTCAATATCTTCATCTAAATATCTATTATAATGTTTATATTTTTATTACAACAAGCACACACCATTCAAGCAGAATTTACATAGGTATGTATATATCAATATTCCACGACATGTTTTCAGAATCCATTCTTATGATGTTTAATATATATGTCAATTATCGTATTATCTAGGATTTTGATGAAACTTCACGGAATAACCACCGCTATTTGGATCCTTTTGTAGTTCAAAATTATTCGTGGAAAGTCCAAAAGGTTTCAATACCATATTTCCTAAATCTTTCAGTTTTCCCAGCATTTCAGTTTTCAATTTTTCATTTCTTTCGTGAATCAATGGAGGTAATCTCTGTGAAAGAAATCAATGTTAATAAATAATATTAATAATGAATATCACTAATTATGAATAAAAAAAAATATATTTTCATAATTACTCGAACTGCATAATTTGCCTCTGTATGACCAGGATCAAAAGTTAAAATCTTTTTGTAATCTTCCAAAGCTTCATCTAATTTCTCTGTCTCTTCATATAATCGAGCCCTTCTAGCATATACTTTCACATAACTTGGATTTAATTCTATAGCTTTTGTGCAATCGGATATTGCAGATTCTCTATCCTATTTAAATAATATTATATAAATATCAGAGTTAAAAAATTGTTTCTTTGAAAGTATATTCTTTATATAATAGCATTACCAAACATTTTAACTTTGCAGCAGCTCTATTGGCATACAAAACGGATCTCTCTTTACTATAGGCTAATGGACAAGTTTGAATTCCTTGCGTGTAGACAGATATTGCTTCAAGGTATTCTTCGCGTTTAAATAAATCATTTCCTTCATTTTTATATTTTTCTGCTTCTGCTTTAAGAGTCTGAAAAAAGGAAAAAGTATATAAATTTTGTGATGTATTTTTATCACTTCTATAATTTTAAAAATTATATAAATAAATACAAACTTCTTTTTCTTCTTCAGAAAGATTTTGTTCTCTTTCTTTTAATATTTCTTCGTCCATATTATCTTTTTCATGATTTGCATCCCCTTTACACTTTGTTTCCCAATTATCATCATCATCATCACTGTTTCGTTTTATACGTTCATTGCAAACATTCGATAGATTACCATTTTTCGATTCTTGGATATTGTCGTTTGATGTAGTATAATTATCATTTTCTTTGATACAAGAACTTTCTAGATCTTTCGTAAGCTCTTCTATAATTTCTTCATTCGTTTTTAAACATTCAGATTTGTCGTCCATCGCAGCGTTGTTTTTTACGCGATGATTTAATACCTGATCTTAACGTATACAACGAACTATTAAGGTTAACTACAGCATTACATGCACAAGCAGACGACTCTGAACTTGTATGTCAACTATGGTTGCAGATTACGTTGACGTTTCTTCGTAATTCACACATTCGTCATCAGAGAGCGCTTTATGCGACTATAATGACATCTATTTCCGATGTTTTATTTATAATATAAGAAATATATAAATTTTCTTAACAAAAATATATCATTCAAGAGGAAATCAAAATAGTTAATGATTTCTGCTTTTTTTTATAAAAGAATAATTCATATTTTTCTATTATTTATAAGAAAAAATTTTATTTACACATAGTAAATATAATTCATAATTTTTACGAATATAAATAAAAATTAAATTATGCAATAGTTTATTTTAAATATTTAATATATGTATTTTTAATATTATATATTTTTATATATTTTTATACTTTTAAATTTTTCCGTAAGTACGTAAATATTAATATTATGATAAATTTTTATGTTTATTTTTATTTAATATACAAACAACAAACAAATCTTTAGTTTAAAATCATATTATTTTACTATTCTAATAAAAGAAAATGTACATGTATTTTTCACTATAATATGTATATATATTTTACTATAAATATTTTATGTTTCATTAATAAATAAAAATAATAATTATTAAATTGTTCTTTTTTCGTTTTTTATGTTTTATATTTTATGCATATTTCAATATAATATAATATAAATTACGTACAAAGGAAAATAAATTATTATTTGTACGTGTATGGAACAATGAAAGAGGAGAAATTGTATCCAACTAGAAATGATCAGAGTAAACCTACGAATATTGTAAGTACGTGCTCTAGTCTCATTAAGCTTACTAGCTTGTCGAGTTATAGAATATGAGCAATAAGTTATTTACTCTTATTCTAAGTTATATAATTATAAATAAAACATAAAGTAAATAAACATATAGTAAATAACATATAGTAAAAAACATATAGTAAATAAACAAAAAATTTAACGAAAAATAATTTAATTTATTATAGATAATTCAATATAACTGAATTGATTTTTGTGATTCTCTTGTGTTTCTTTTGTTTTTTATCTTTTTTTTAAATAAGAAAAAAGATACAATTGACAAACTTCACAATGATATTAAAATGTTGACATTAAATATTATTTATGGTTCGATAATAACTAGTGAGTAGTTTGGTGAAAATGGATTATACATAAGGATTTCATTTCCGTTAAAATGATAAACAGGATTTTAGATCATAAACTGTTAAACTGCCTTTAGAAGAAATGAAATAAATAAGAATTCTGGTATTACAGCCTGCGCCTTTTCTTCATCATAAGCTTAATCTGTTACATATAGTAAAATTTCGATCAGAAGAAAAATTTTATCAGATAAGTCTCTGAAATCATTTTTTTTTATTTTTTTGTTAATAAAATAATAAATAATATAAAATAAAATAGAAAATAAAAATAATAATATATTGGAAGTACTATTTTTAAAAAACTTGAATATGAGAATTTATAAATTTAATTATCTTTAACTTTTAGATTTTTAATTTATCTTTAATTAAACTAGTAAAAAATTAAAATTAAATAACTGTATATATATATATATATATATTGATTAGTCTAGATATATCTAATATATAAAATAATTTAAAAATAAATAAAAATAAATAATTTAAAAATAAGCGAAGAATGAGATTTTTTTTATTTAATATCTCATTTTAAAAATCAAATTTCAATCTATTCAAAATCTATTTAATTTTCTTAAAAATAAGTTATCAAATGAAAAAGAATAATTTTTTTATCTTCTTAATTTTAGCTTTTGTTTTTTTTTTTTTGTTTGAAAACAATATTTTTAATACAATTTTATATACTATTTTATATATTTTAAGTCATAAAATTTTGCTTTCTTGTATTATAAATGTTGACTCATTTTATATATATATGTAAGATAATCACATTCTTTTTCGACAAAATTATCTCGTATCAAGAATTGCTTCGTTTCGTTTCATTCAGTTTATAAATGTTTCGTATATAACGAACATGAGATTTTTAATGAACTTTTTAGCGCGCCAACCATGCAGACCATGTACGATCGTTGCACACTCTTTAATTATAATGATATTACATAACTTTTACATGAATATAACTTTTATATGAATATTTCTTTCATGCGTACATATTTCACTATTTTAAAAAGAAAAATATAATTCCCGATAACGCACAATGCAATTATTTTACAAATACGACACGATAAGATAGATAAAAATTTTACAGTCGAAATTATGCTCTGTGAGAATCGGGCAAAGCGCAAGCAGTGGCCACAAGGGTATATTTTTCTTCTTAGAGGATGGTAACGGCGCACGACCGTGCGCCATCATGGTAGATCGACCGTATAACTAATATCAGTTTCTTTTCTTATAAACTGCCGCACTAACAAATCTTTTCAAACAACTCTATGAAAATGCTAGAATTTTTTCAATTTTATTCCTTCTTCTTTCTTTTACTGATAATTAAAAGTTTTTTAGATAACTAATTTATTATTTAGATAATTAATTTATTTTTTAAAAAATAGATAAATATTTTTTTTATTTTGCTATTCTAATTTAAAAAAAAATTTGGATCAACTTGAATGATAAGTTATGTTGATAATTACGTATCTATTATTTTTTTGTTTTCTAGATTCAAAAACAATTATGTTAATTTAAATATAATTTATGGATTTAAATATTATTTAATCACATGCAAATGTGAAAGTGGTATGAAATTTTGATTCGATTTTATAGGAAAATTATTCTTCTTGGAAATAGAAATAGGGTAGATAACCGTTCGAACTGCTTCAAATTTCTAAAGAGTATTAATGTGATATCTCTGTTCTGTGATTTAGTCGAGAATAAAAGCACTCATCTATCAAGTGAAATCTTGCAAACAGATGCCTTTGTTGAAACAAACAATATGTTCATTTCATATGAAATTATTATCTTTTCTCGATATAGGATAACTCAAATGGTCATATTATGCTAGATATTTTTTAATGTTGAATCTGATACTTACCTTGTATATTTTATAGAATTTTGAAAACACTAACTTTTTAATTTAACAATGAATGAAAATAATTTCAGCTTGTATTTTTTGTATTTTCATTGTTTTTATCAATATATATAATTGATTGTATGAAAATTATTTGATTTTTATATACATTATTCGAATCATTATTCGATCTTCAAGTAAATTCGATTGTAAATTTACAAGTTTGTATTTAAAAGAATGTTCGATGAATCTAAAAATGATCAGAAAAACAACGTGATAATTTCATTTTTTATAATATTAGTTTCCACTTTCGGTTAATCAACAATACAATTTTGAAAATTCAGTAATTGTTATATATATATTTTGTATAAAATAAAAATACTCAATGGAATACTAAATGTAAAATAAAGAGTTGGCTATTGTCTGTCATTTATTTAAGAAAATAAAAAATTAAAAAAGAAAAATAAAGCGATATTTGATGCGTTGTATATTTGATAAAAGAATTTATTGTTAATGATGAATTTAAAAAAATAAAATAAAACAAACAATTGCATAGTAAGAAAACTCCATTGCTTAATATCCAATATGTCCGCGAGCCCGTGGTTAATACGGAGAAACACGAAGTTCTAGAAGAATATTGTTGATGATAAGTTTCTTGATATAATTAAATCTACAATTAATTAATTTAATTAATAATTCCTATTCTTTCTAATTCTTTAACCAATCCTAATTCTTATATATAATTAATTATTAAAATAATAATATCGCAACAAATTATAAAACATTTTTTTTAAACAATCTTTTTATTCGTTAAAATGAAAAATTCCATTAATAATATTATTATTATTAATCAATTAATTCAATTAATTCAATTGTATAAAAGAATTCAAGAATGGGATAGCTTTTCATTGATACATCGTTAAAAATACGAAGTAGATCAAAAAAAAAAAAAAGAAAAGAAAAACGGATAAAGAAGAGGAAAAGTACAAAGAGGAAATCGGTGGTTACCCAAACATTACGTATTCGAGATAGCTACAAGTTGAGATATTTGCAACAAAAGGGGGTACGGAGTTAGATTTCTATCCCCAATGGTGGTGCAAGCTTCGTTTTCTCATTGGTCCCCCCAGATCCGTGACGTCACTACGCCTGCCTATGTAAAGGTGAAGCACGCGGAGCGTCAGTACATCGTTGTCCGTCACGTCGAGCGGGTCTCAACTTTGAATCACCCTCTGCTCACCTCTCTTCTTCTAAGATTCGAAGAGGAATCTTTATTTCGAGCTAATCGACGATCAGTAACCGTTATCTAATCAACAAGGACATCTTTGCATTTATTTACGAAGGTAAAAAAATAAAATTGTTTATATTTTTATCCATCAATTATTGTTTATTCGTAATGGAAAATTTGTCATGTCATTCATTATATGTATAATATATAATATTTAAACGAATTGAATAATTGTGATTTTCAATTTTTGATTTCTTCTTTTTCTCTCAATTTTTTTTTTTTCCTCTTTTTTCTTCTTTCTCAAACAATTATTAAACAGTCGATATTTTCATTATAATAATTCTGCCGTTAAGCCATTTTCATACTTTTGACAAAGTTTGAAGCGCATTTGAATCGCTTTAAGCATTACAATGAACGCAAGAAGTACGTAGTATGTATATCAACTTTTAGTTAAATAAAAAGTTTCAAAAGTTCAGAATATACTAAAACATCGTATTACGTTAATATTAATATTTTTTATCCTTTCTTTTCTTGATGTTTGTATTTCTTTTATATCTTGTTGAGTATACTTCTTTCAGTACCATTCGTAAACCCTTCGAGGTATGCGCTTTATCGGAGTTAAAGTTAAAGCTAGAGTTAAAGTTGGTCCATGCTTTTACATATACAAAGATATCTGCACATACGTATTGTACATATGATGTAAAAAAAAAGAGAAAGAAAGGAGAAAAAACGAAAAGTTTTATAAAAAAATTAGGAAAAGTTATTTACGAATATCTAATAAATTGTTTTAGAAACAATATTTATAAAATATTGTTCAACATTATTAAATTTTATATATTCTTTTTTATTTATTTATTATTTATTTAAAAAAAGGTCAATTCAGTTATTTGAATAATATATCATCTTAAATCTAAAATTAACAATAATCTTAAAGTAGAAGAGAAACATAAATTTATATTTAAATGTATTGAAATTTTTAAAGAAAAAAAAAAACAAATATTTTTGCTAATTTATGTTGTTGCTTTTTATAAAGCAACAGGCTCTCAAGTAAAAATACGTTGAATTGAAAGATATTCGAGTTTTAAATGCAATATAAAATAATTTTTTATTATAAACTCATTATGGAAAAGCTTCGTTCAGATTAGAATAAAATTATTTGAATTTAAAAAAAAAAATTTGAATAACTTGAATATATATGAATTATTTAATTTAAAATATTTTGTCAATTTTTTCTTCCAATTCTTGGCAATTTACATTTGTCAAATTCATTTGTTTCAAACAATTTCAAACAACTTGATTAATGTGAATTTATTCTATTGAAATTCATCTGATTCTTTAAAGCTTCAAACAAAATTTTTTCTAATTTTAAATTTTAAACTTCGATCGAATTATTGAAAAATACTTACGCATTAATTTATAACGAATTTATCAGAAATGAAGCAAAAAATTTTAGAAATTTTAGAAATAATAAAAAGATATCGCAGAAAATAATAATTGCATATCGCAATAAATTTGAGGGATAAAAATATAAGGAATTAATGTGAACAAGAAGTCGAGTTGTTTGAAATCAAATTGGTTTTGTAATAACTTGACTAATCTATTTCAAGGTTTAAGGATGGAACAATATTGGATATAGTTATAACATTGGAAAATTATTATTAAGACGTTTTTCCATGTTTCCTCAGTCATTAATGTTGGACAAATATCGGCCGTTGATTATCGAAGTAATTATTTTCTTGAAACTCCATCTTACGAAACAATAAAATCTCAAACGATTTCTAAATTTAATATCCAACAAGCATCTACTAGTTTTAACATTTAAATGTATTGTTTTAATTTAATCACGATAAACTAGAGGTAAAATGAACGAAGAATTGAATAATAGAATAGTTAAAAAAATCCTATAAACAATAACGTTAATTTATAAAAAATATTTATATTTTTTTATATTTATCATATTTTATATTTATACTTATATTTAGATAAAAATATTTAATTTATAAAAATATTACATTTTCTTATCATTTTATAAAATTGTTACGTGATTCTAATAAGATTTTATAATTTAAAGTTAATAATTTAAAAATTCATATATTTAATTTCATATATACAATATTAAAAATATTATCTAAAAAGTGATAATTAACGATTCATGAAATATTTGTCTTGAACATCCTGTTTAAATATGAATGCAATAATAAGAAAGAAAATTGGGGCGGAAATTATTTTGAAATGAAACTAGATGTATATTTTAATACGTATCTATTATTATAAAATTTTCATTTTCAATTTTTTTAATGAAATTTTAGTCTAAAATATTAATTTCGTACTTTAATATTAAAAATTATTATAAAATTTACAAATTGTATTCATCTTTTATTATATATAACATCTTTAACAAAATAATATAATACAATATAAATTTAATAAAAAATTATTAAAAAATACAATCGCATAATTTAATAAAAAATTAAAATTTAATAAAAAAAATTAATAAAAAAATACATAAAAATTGAACTAATATTAATCACTTTAATTTACCGATATATTTAAAATTTATTTCTTCGTCTCAGAAATAAATAAATTTTTATTTTATAAATAAATTCGTCTCCAAATAAAATAAATTTTATTTGGAATTATTTTACTCTTTGATACTCAATCGAACATTTTGAATACATGTATACATGATTCGCTATTCTCGTCTTTATCAAAATTATCATTTTTAAATATGATCGAATAACAAACTTTGACAGATTGATCATTGATGCTCAACACGATATTTTTATTAGTTAAACGACCGATCACCATATTGGAAACTTACACGAGATTGTATCACTTGAACTCGCAACTCTTCCTCTTGCTTCTAGGATATTGGTTAAAATCAATTTCACCATGCACTGATTATTTCAGTGCAGCATACATAAATGCTTTGAATTTAGTATCTGTGATCTCTAGGTATTTATCGTATTTACAGTTATAGTTAATTTTAAGCTTGAAGTTGCGAAATGTGAAATAAATTGATAGATATGCTCATAATTCACTTTAAAATTCGATATTTCAATGATTCAATGGAACTTTTCCTTTAATTTCCTTATGGTCATCATATACACAGATAATAATAATATATTTGCTATTTAATAGTTTATTCTTTATTTTTTTTTGCTAGAGATTTTTATAAATTCAAGAATCACAATGTCTTATAATTAAAATATTTAACTTGTACATTATTTATATGTTACATTTTTATTATTATTTAATTTATCATAATAAAATTTAATATTTGATGAAAATTTAACGAAAAAAAAATTTGTGCTTTAAAACTTTTAATTCCTTAACACTCACTAGCCTATATAAATAAATACATTTAATTGTTTATTTTTATAGAATTTATAGATTTCTATAAATTCAAAAATTGCAACATTTTATATTAAAATATTATTATTATTTAATTTATCATAATAAAATTTAATATTTGATGAAAATTTAACGAAAAAAAAATTTGTGCTTTAAAACTTTTAATTTCTTAACACTCACTAGCCTATATGTATAAATACATTTAATTATCCAGATTTCTATAAAATTTATATTTTATTTCTATAAATTCAAAAATTGCAACATTTTATATTAAAATATAGTATATATCACATTTGTTTTTATTATTATTTGTATATAATTATAAAAATGTAATTATAAAAAGAAATTTAACATTTTAATTTGAGCTTTAACGAATAAAATGACACGGTTCTAAGCTTCTAGTAAGCTAAATAGAATAGCAAAACAGTGACAAATGATATCGTATTGGTGCGTATATCTACATTTCAATAATGAAATTATTTACATTACACCAAGAAAAAATTTATGAGGTAAAAACATGCAAAACAACTATATGGTTAATTAATGTGCATAATTTAAAATATATATATATATATTTTTTTTTTTTTTTTCTTAACGCGTATAGTATTAACATTCCGTCATTTTTCTGTACACATATAACATCGTATTAACACTTAGACGTTTTCCTCTTATCGATCGCTTTGTTTTTCTTCTTCTTCGAATTGCTTGGAAAAGCGAGGAAAGTTCGTGTGACGTGTGCAATGAATATATGATTCCTTCTCCGATTGATAATTCATTTCTTCGTTTGCGGTTCGCTGTGTCCCTTTGTCGTTTTCATTCACTGTTCGACGTTACGTTTCATTTACGTTTCACCCGGTATCATTCATTTTGCGTTCATTTTCTTCAATACCTGGCCGTAAAAGAAAAATGTAAGTACAGAAGAACAATTTTATATTTGTTATTGATCAAGCTGAGAGACGAAATTTCTTTCAAATGTTTTCTCATTTGTGATTAAAAAACATGATTTTGTTTCTGTACAAAATGAGGATATGCCCTATATTTTCCCTGACTCTTTTCCTTTTCACTCGTTATTTTCTTTGTTTGTTTGTTTGTTTGTTTCTTTTTTTTTTTTTTCACATGTATCTCCGTGTTTAATCTTCGACTCACTGCATACTGCATATCAATGTGCATGTACATAATGTATATAAAAACCTTTAAATTTACGGCTTTACGTATATAATTTTCTCTTCATTTATTTCTATCTATCTTTTCTTTCCTCGATATATACGCATATTTTATAAGGGAAATTTATACAAAAACGTATATTTCTGGTCCTACAACCTTAATTTATAAAATAAATTGTGCAATCAAAGCTGTATTTTTAAAAATACTTTCAGCCATCTCATATTTTTGCCTTAACATTTATAATCACTGCTTTTAAAGGCAATAAAAAGTAAGATCGGAAAATCTCAAAATAAAATAAATAAGATAATCCATAAAAGCGTATATTTTTAATAATAAATTATTGTTGACAGATCATTCAACATTTTTTGTTGAAACAATGAATTTAACCGGAGGAATTTTTCGAATTTAAATATAGAGTTAAAGTATGACACATGATTTTATCCTGCCTTTGTTTCTTACAATTTGTATCTATTTTTCTTTTTCTTCTTCTTCTTTTTTTTATTTGTTATTATTATTTTTATCTTTTTTAATAATGCAATGATATAAAAAAACATAAGAAAGTAAATTATAATTTTACATACATATTTTCGAGCAAAA